CCCTTATCTTCTTGAAACTTCTGTTTGTTTATCCTGCATGCTTTTGCAGCTTTTCAGGCATCCCAATAACATATTAAATATATATGTGTGTGCGTTCATACGAAAAATTAAAAATTTTATTTTTTGCATTACATTACTTACTAATAAGATATGCAATATTTAATCATACCGCAATTTATAATCATGTACGTATTTTATATATTATTAAATCTTATGGCCATAGACAATACTTTTCCTGTCCTAAATATAAAACCATTATTATAAGGGTCTTATATTTAGGACCGGATGAGTAATATATATAGCTTATTATATGATTGTAGGATGATACATGCATCTAGTTGCTTGGGAATAACTAAAAATTGTTTAGGATAATGCATTTATTACTTTTAATTAAGAAGATTGTGTGTCTGTTTAGAGCATATTATTATATGAGGGTGTCAACAACGTGAGTAGGCTCAAAATAAGAGTGTAATTATTGTTTGGTTTTGTTTGATCAAGCAAAGCTAAAACTCGGGAAGATTCACCCACTTGATTCGTAAAATAGAAACATGTACACACTCACAGATACAAAGTCAGAAGACGATAGAATCTAAGCATGGTAATGAACCCGTTTGCATCTGAGCTAATCTGAAGACTGGAAAATAAGCTGGATGGCTTCTTTTTTTTTTTTTGGTGAAAAAACAAAATTTTAAGAAAGGAGTCGGGCTCACCCACGATCCAAAGACAGAGCAACTAACCCTTGACCCCAGCCCTATCCAGTGCCGTAGCTTTACTGGGACAGGGAGAGCTCCACGTGGGGATCACCACATGTTACGAGCTGAGGCCTTGGCTTCAAAAATGCCTCCCCCAGCGCCGCGACTGGAGCCACAACAAAGTGACACTTTCTAAGATCGAACCCCCTCTTTTTGGTGAGAGTGTCTGACCTCTTCGTCAGCTGAACCCACAAACGAGGGGTAGCTGGATGGCTTTTAGTCCACTTGTTCTTTGATTTTTAACTATTGATTAAAATTGGAATCATCATGAAAGAGAACAAAGTACTGGATCTATTTGATAAGGGCACAAAAGCCGAGGTTTCTAAGCTCCCAAGAGGACCCTACACTTCCAACACCACTAAACAGATTCGAAGTGCCACGCACTTCTCTTCACTGTCAGTGTTCACCTTTGTTCGGTATCACTCAGCTTTCAATTCCTTCCTGCGCAACAAATTAATGCTACCCTTTAGTTGATGACTTGCGTTGGGCCCAGCGAGCTTCCAGAGGAAAAATATACTTGGACCCTGTGATTCTCGAGCTCGACATCACATCTTAATTTTATTAAAATACCCATTTAAGTAGTAGGGCGAATGTGATGTGGGGAAGATGGGTTGCGCGTACGTGAAGAGTAGTGTGTATTGTTGTGTGAGTTACTATTCATCAGTACGTACGTATGTGTTTTATATATATATATATATATATATATTCACGGCTATCTGGTAGGTATAGGTTTCCCCACTACTTCTTCACAGGCTTAGGACAATGGCCACACCAGCGTGACGATCACGTGCAGCGTCCCTTCATGATCCCCTCTTCTCCAACCTTTTTTGTCAGTCACTTCCCTGTGACTGCTCAGCATTTCAGACCAAAAACACCACATTTTCCTTACCCACCAGAATTATCTCTTTTTAGCTCCAAAGCAGCCATTCAATCTATCTGCATATGTGTCCTACTTCCTTCCCCTCTTCAATATACCTATCTGTGTCTATTTCAATCCTAGCGTCCAACACTTATACCTGTACGTACTGCGTGCGCGGGAGGAGTCAGAAGCTCTACGCAAGTTGCAAAACAAAAATAGTTCAAACCGCAGCATGATGTTGTCTGAGCCATGTAAAATGGAAATGCAATATATAATATATTAATGTGAGTGTGAAACTAAAGAAAAGTAAGCGAGAGAGAGAGAGAGAGAGAGAGAGAGAGAGAGAGTTGTTCGGGGGGATGGGACCCGAGAAGGAGAGTTCGGTTGTCACTAAACTGAAAGAGCAGGCTGCTTACGGTAGGGGCCGGAAGGACCAGAAAGATTGAGATAAAAGAGTTTCTAAAGATGAAAGCGTAGTGGGATGGGATAGCTAGGTATAGGAAGGCACCCCTTGAGATCGTAAAGGTCAAATGGTCCCAAAATTAAAGGACCCAATATCCTTCCCATGTGCATGCGCCCTCACTGATACATACCATTCAATCTTTAATTTGCTCCTTATTATAACCTCAATCTTATTGTCTTCAACTAATTTCATTCCCATTTGCGGCGTCCCTACCTACTAATACTATCTCATCTCAAGTATACCAAGCTCACCAATTACAATCAATCACCTCCTTCTCTCTCCCCATTACATATATCATCTTTTAATTAATCCCCACCCCTCTCTCTCTCTACCACTTGCTAGCTAGCTGCTAATTGTTTTATGCTGGGATACTGGATATTGTGGTTAAGATTTTACTTACCACACGTTTTGAATCTTTTGGATGCGTCTCATCATTTCCCACTATTCAGTCAATTCATTGATTATTTTGAAATTGACGCCTCTGGTGCTTAAAAAACCCTAATTTACAACTCGATCGAAAACTTAAAAAAAAAAAAAATTGAGCTCTCCCCATCTGATGATCACACTACCTTAATGAGGCGGTGGATCTATAGCCAAACCTTTCTTTTCTTGCATTACTTATGCATCTAATATCTTCTAGACTGCTACCTGTATATAGTGTCTAATTCGCGATCGATACGGTTGCTAATCTTGAGGAAGTCTTTCCATATAGTTTCTTTTAAAAATTTTATCATCATAATCAAAACTAATATAAAGATAAAGACCATTTTCTAATGAATCATACCATTCATATATAATTCACGAATATTGTAATTTAATTATCAACTTTATACATCAGTGCAGTGCACAATCTTAATTTTATTTCTTAGCGTGTTTAATTAATATCAATATATGATATAAAATTTATATAATCAACCATATTTTTCATCAAACAGTGAATTAGTGAGACTAATTTGCATGCATGAAGATTGACCTAATTTAAAACATATTTATAATCTGTTCCAAATTATACGTCAAACTGCGTTTTTGTGACGCGGGAACTCGTGGATTTTAAAAAATTGAAATAATTAAGGGTAATTATCGGATATAAATGAAGAGGGTGAAGAAATAAATTTACTACTTAATTCTTTTTTGAAAACACAAGGCCGGATGTTTTTTGGCCCCCTTTTTGGCTAGATGAACTTTGAGAACTGAATAAAATCACCTAACGCATGGTATGACCCTTTCGATACTTTCTCCTCTGAATGGTCTAATAACTTGCTAGTTCAAACCCTATCTTGTGATTTTCCATTTACATATTTATGTCATCAGCCTTGTTTGCTGCCATGATTATTAATATATTTTTAACATTTCTAATTAACAAATTACTATTTATAAATTATAATTTATGGATTAGTTAAGTTAGGCGTGCTTACTTTCAAATTTGACAAATGAGCTCCATGCATGATTGCTAGAACCAGCCAGATCACCGACTGGCAATATGTAGCCTGCGGTCCAGTTTGAGCGGTTGCCAAAATTGGGAGGAAAAGCGAACCGATTAGAACCTGCTTTCCCCTCTCTCTTCCCCCCCCCCCCCAATCCCTACATGGTTTTGAGCTTTTTCTCCATTTTTTAAAGTTAGTTGATAATTTCAACGATTTGTAATAGATAATAAGTATTACTTATTATCTAGCAAGATTTAGTCTAGCGGAATAAGCTAATGTCTTATAATTTGATAAACTAAGGTTTGGATCCTCCAAAGGTACTTGCGTTATTATACCGAATTTACATTATAAAATGAATCTTATACTTATAACTATCATAGAAGTATTATTTAGGTTGAGCGAGAATGCACGTATAAGATTGATGTGAACGTGTATTACAAGATATATTTGGGCATGTATACATGATAATATAGGGATGAATATTATCGAAGTTATTTGTTTTTTCATTATATTATTTTAAAAATGTTATTTTAATCGAGATCAGTCCAACCATGATTCTAGTCAACCAGTTACGATCCGGCTTTAACTACATTGGTTGCATACTTGTTGATTTTGAATTTTATTTTTAAAATATCTTTTTATGTTTGCCACCAATAAATCTCATTTCCCCATTTGTCTTTAATTTCTCGTCGATTCATGTCTCAAGTTACTATATACACCACTAACTCTTGATCAGGCTTTGCTTAAAATATACCACATCTGGTGGTTAATATAAAAACGAATTGAATAATGTGAGTAGATTAAAAAATTAGTTAAATTAGTTATTTGTAATAAATAAATGTTGTCATTTTTAAGATATCCTTACTAATCAAATATATTGGTTATAACTATTATTATTACAAAAACTATTTTTTAAAAAAAAAAGATAAATATGACAAATAAAGTGAATTAGAGTCTTATATTTAGGATTAAAATAAGAGTTAAACGAGTTCTTATATTAAAGATAAGAAGTAATATAAAAAAAAGGAAGCACCGTAGACTAACCCTAGATCCCATCAAAACATTCATCCTTTATTTTAACTTTATGTAAATATTAGGACTAATGTACTGCCTTTAATACTTAATATATGAGCTTGTTTGACTTTTATTTTAATTCTAAATATAAGATTTCAATCTATTTTGTCTCTTATGTCTATCTATTTTTTTTTAAAGGCAGTTATTGTAATAATAGTAGTTCTAGTAACTATATTTGATTAATAAATGATATTTTAGGAAAGACAATATCTATTTATTACACATAACTATTTAAATTTTTTTTAATTAATTTAAATTAGTCAACTATTTTATATTAATAATAAAAAGTATTATAATAATTTCAAAAGAAATTTGCGAAACAGACCCGACGAAGCATGAGATTTTGTCTATAAAAGGAGCCTTGAGCGTGACCATGCTGCTCAAACACTCGCCTTCGAATTCCCTTCTCAGTTCTATCACGCTTTCTGCTTGTCCCCTCCTCCTGCCACTCTCCCCCTCCTCCTCTGTTCTGCCTCTCATAAAATCATTCAACTCAGCCCTTCCTCACATCCGAAAATAAAAAATGGTGTCTCTCTCAGCATCTTCTGTTCAACTCTTCATCCTCGTCGTCCTCCTCAGTTCACTTACACTCCACGAAGCCACCACCGTGTGCTACTCCGTTAACAACTCTCTCATACTTCCTCCCTCTGAGATCTTCTTCTCCCTCCAAACACTGCCTCTTGATGGCTCCATCGCCTTATATAGCCATCCTTTTGAACAGGTAGCTGCCAGAGACTTCGGCAACATTTACCATTTTCCTCCACTCGCAGTTCTCAATCCGAACACTGTCTCTGATATTTCACTCATCATCAAGCTCGTCTCCGAGATGGGCTCTGCCTCTGGCTTCAAAATCGCCGCCAGAGGCCATGGCCATTCAATTCAGGGCCAGGCACAAGCACATCAAGGCTTGGTCATTAACATGGAGTCCCTGCGAGAACCAGAAACAATGCAAGTGAAGTACATCAGACGAGGGCTTGTCGGGTTGCCGTATGTGGAAGTTTCAGGGGGAGAGCTGTGGATAAACATACTGCATGAGACATTGAAACATGGGTTGGCTCCGAAATCTTGGACTGATTACCTTCACCTTACTGTTGGTGGAACCCTGTCCAATGCCGGAATAAGTGGCCAAGCTTTCCGCCATGGACCCCAGATTAATAACGTGTTCCAGCTGGAAGTCGTCACAGGTATGTATCGTTCGACCCAAAATCTCTTCCCTTCCCCACCTAATGTGATTTTCTAGTACGTCTAGGCCTGACCAACACCGTATTTGAAAGAGAGGTTTCATCCTACACCCATTGGTTTCCCCGGGCAATGTTTTCGAACCATTCCTAATCGGTGAACAATCCTTTATAGAAAGATTTCGAGTTAGCGGGTTTGCTGAGTAAACTTCGAATTGCACTGTCCCTTTGAGATCCTAAACGAGCTGTAGCATGTGGCTTTGGAATGGCTCATTTTTGTTACCCTATCAATCACTTCATAGAAAAAGAGGGAAGAGAGTTTCCGTAATCTTTCTCTGTTGAATGGCAATCGTGACTGTTTCTATAACCTGTTTTCAAAATAGACCGAGTGAAGATTGTGGGGCAATGATATGAGTTGGAACTTTTGACATTTATGTGGTGTGGGTAACATACATATTTATGTTGTAGGAAAAGGAGAGGTGGTGACCTGCTCAGAAACCCAAAACGCAGACTTATTTTACGGGGTCCTGGGAGGGCTTGGCCAATTTGGCATAATCACCAAGGCTCGTATTTCTCTTGAACCAGCACCAAAGATGGTGAGCATATATATAAACACACCCCTTTACGTCCTCAGAACTGAAGAAAAATTAAGCACGCATCCCAATAATTAATATCTATTTATGCAGGTGAAATGGATTAGAGCGCTGTATTCAGATTTCTCCGTGTTCGCCAGGGATCAAGAGTATTTAATATCAATTGAAAACACATTTGATTATATTGAAGGATTCGTGATCATAAATAGAACCGGCATCCTCAATAGCTGGAGATCTTCCTTCAGTCTGAAAGAGCCACTTCAAGTCAGCCAATTCGATTCAGATGGAAGGACCTTTTATTGTCTGGAAATGGCAAAATACTTCAACCCAGAAGAATCTGAAGCCATGAATCAGGTGAGTCAGCCATGCCTAGCAAACAACATTAATTGTAGCTGCGGGAAAAAATTCGCTGTCTCCGCTGAAGAAAAATCTCATCTTTTTTTTTTTTTTTTCACTCGTTCAAATGCAGAGCGTCGAGCATCTTTTGTCAGAACTGAGTTATATTCCCTCCACAATCTTCCTGACAGAAGTTTCTTACGTGGAGTTCCTGGATAGGGTCCATGCTTCTGAAATGAAGTTGAGAGCAAAGGGATTATGGGATGTTCCCCATCCTTGGCTGAATCTTTTCATTCCGAGGAGCAAAATTCACGACTTCAATCAAGAGGTGTTTGGCAAAATCCTTACAGATTCAAGTAATGGTCCCATTCTCATTTACCCCGTCAACCAAACAAGGTACTAGCTTTAACTTTACTGTAATCAAACACTAAATTAACAAGCCCCACTTATAATCTCTCTCTCTCTTTCTCCTCGTAGGTGGAACGGTAAAACCTCTTTGGTTACACCAGAGGAAGATGTTTTCTACGTAGTAGCATTCCTGCCCTCTGCAGTCCCAAATTCTGTAGGCAAAGACAGCTTGGAAAACCTACTGAACCAAAATAAACGGATCGTAGAATTCTGTACCAGTGCTCGTTTAGGAGCGAAGCAATATCTTCCCCACTACACCACCAAAGATGAATGGCAAGCCCACTTTGGGTCTAGATGGGAAGCATTCTTCCAAAGAAAGTTAGCGTATGACCCACTCGCACTTCTCGCCCCAGGGCACAGAATCTTTGAAAACGCAATCTCAACTTCCTGTTAAGAATGTCATGCTGTAAATTTGTTTATAATTAATATTAATATTTTATATGCTTCTCAGAAGTTAATAATTAATCAAAACCTTTTTGAGACTAATCAACTTTTGCTAGTATGATAATGAAGTCATCTCAAAATATTAGTGGCATGCTTACAAGCTAGAGAAACAAAAAACGAACTTTTCTAATCCAAAGGGGTTTAAATTAAAACCTGCGCATGGCTAACCATCGAATTCGTACAAGCATCCCGCAAACTCCAGTGTCTTGGTTATCTAAGATATTTTCATGTAATATAATATTTATTTAACTAATTTGATTAGATTAAAAAAATTAAATTAGTAAATTATAAAAAATGTAACATTTTTTGTATAACACCAAAATCATATTTCTTAGTATTTTTTTTATTTTTGTACTTGATTATAATTGAGGAAGATTAATAAAGTACCCTTCCGTTCTAATTATAAGACCCTTATACCACCCTTATATTTAGAGCTGAGGAGTGATTTAGAAAAAATTAATAAATATAAGAAATAGATCTTATATTTAAATAAGATCAACTCAATAATTAAATCTTACATTAAGAATAGAAAGAATACTTGTATTACTAGCCTATTAGTGAGTATTTAAATTAGTTTTTTAAAAATAATTTTACAATGTAAGAAGGAAGCACGTGAAATAAATTTTATCTCGATTTGTATAAAAATATTTTTTAAACACTTTTAATGTTGTTCAAACAAGCATCCAACGTTGCCACTAACAAAATACCAGCAATGAAACCCATGCCTGCAGAACATTATAAATTTACCCTGTAAAATTCAGTTAATCTCATAGATGGCCATAGCCCAGGGCCATTAAATTTGGTGAGAAGATGGAACAATGGCCCCCCGGGGAAAAGGGGGCATTAGGATGATACAAATTTGCAATATTTTAGAGGAGAAAAATATGTGATGTTTTACATGAAACGTGAGAATGGAGGGAAAAGTTGCCGTGGTTCCGCAAAAGGGGAAAAGGGGGAAAACAGTGTTAGAATCCAGCATCTCAACGACTCAACTCCATAAGTCAAACCAAGCACAAGCTAATATACTAGCTAGAATATCCTAACATGGACAAGGTTTAACTAAAACGCGTACAAATTAGGACAAGGTTAAAAACAACAAAAAGTTAGAAACCCTTGTGCAAACAACAGCGAAAGAACGATTATTTTCCCTTTGTTGATTCAATCCAACCGAGGCCTGGTCTACTTATATTCCCCTGGGGTTCTTCATAATCTCGTGCATCGCGAATTGAAGCTTCAAAGTCGGTAGAATCACTTGCAACAGGCAGGAAGCTACTGATATCATCTCTAGCACCAAATCCCCCAGCCCTTATAACATCATCAGGTGTAATGGACGCCTCCATGTTAACTTCGGCAGCTGCATCAAGCTCTTCAGAAGTTCTCCCTTCTGCCCCCTTTTCTCCGTCTTTCTGATCAGCTCCCTTTGCCTCCACATTTCCTGAATTAGTATTTTTCATGGCTTCTTTCTTATCAGATTCAGAATGAGATGTTTCGGCTGACACATCCTCCATACAAGTGTTCTCGTTCTTATCTGATGAATTCATCGTCGTAGACAGTCAATTAGCAGGAGGAGTCATGTAAATTGTAATAATTATATTGACCCAAGATAAATAGATTAAGAAGCATCTTTTCAAAAATAGAATTACTGAGTAATAGATTGTCATATTGATCATTTTCAGGTCATGCAATTGAAAGTAGTCATGTGTGACCCTTAGCGGTAGAAGCTTCACGGTTCACACAAAATTCCACGTCAGTTCTAAAGTAGCACAAAAGAACTTCAAATAAACTTTTAGTACAAAAGAACTTTAAATAAACTTTTAAAACAGCCCGATACTGCATTCCCTTCTCCCAGTCATAGGAGTCGGATAAAAAATTGGCAAGTGTTCACACCAACACGAACGGATCGAAAGTTATGCTTGCTCACTCTGCTGTGGCATGCATTATGGAACTCCACACCACACACCTATAAACTTGTAAGACGAGCAAAATTCATATTAAGAAACTTGTCCACAGACTTCAAAAGATCAAATTAGCTATAAAAATTTTGAATCAAGCACAAACAGATACTCATGAAATGCACAATTAAATTCCAGAAGAATAGCCTGTTATCTGATGAACTTATCATAGACAATTTAAGTGATCGTCCTTCTCTTCAAAAAAAATAAGGACTTTTATTCAATTCCTTCAAATATGATGATTTTCAACCTTTACGAGGCTTTATCTGAGTGAAAGAATGGACATAAAATGCATTTCAGAATGCACTTTCAGACAATCCTGATGCTAGTAAGGACTGCCAACCAGAGAGCTTCAGATAAACGTAAATAATTAATAATAACACTCACCACGCATCATTTTATCCAGGTTCTTGATATAGCTAAAACCCACCACAGGAACTTCCGAAAATGCAAATCTGCAGAAGTTAATTAAATTAGCACCAGTGACATGATAAGTTTTAATTAAGTTAGCACCAGTGATATGATAAGTTTTGATATTATCTGGCACAAAGTCTACACCAGAAAAGGACTTTGACAACATTGTAGAATTAAAGTCAAAGGAAAATACACTCAGTCACTCACATCGCCGAACATGAAACTAATTACTCTCTTTCCTCTTTCTCTGACAAAAGAAACACGGCAGTTAATTGGGCTGAATATCAGACTGTTTATAAGCAGGAAATGTAACTGGAGAACTTGAAGGTATGAGAAGAAGAAATTTCAATTAGAACTAAGGATTTACAAATTAACAGAAACGATTCCGGAGTAGACTCCATTAGTTTTTGTCTCGCAGTGATGCAATGGAGAATGAAGTGGCGCCGGTACACCTACTAAGAAAGTACAGCAAATAATTCCTTCTTATCCGGACTTCAAGAGAAAGCAGAAGGCTTGGTGAAATGAATAAAGGAAAACACATAGTAGAAGGTACAGATTGTATCTAAGCCAATGATCTTATCTTCTTTATACCGGGAAATTTGACCGGCTAAGACTACCAAATTTTACCTTGTGAGAGCATTAAAGAAAGAGACACAGGCATATTCATGTAACCGATCGAGACTGCCCACAGCCAATAACGCGTAACCCCAAGCGTCACTCAGAACAAAAAATGAAAATTTTTATTACGGTGAGATATCTCCTGCCTGTACCCGAAGTGGGGTTCATGTTCATAACCAGATTAAAAGAGGCTAAAAAGCGAAATTATATATCGTCAAATGTTTTCTTGCATCGGGTATTCCAGAAAGGCATCAGAACTAAAGTTCAGGTCCCGTATAATGCCCCATGAGACAGTCAAAACTTAAAGGCAAGTACTTGAACTGGCAAATCTATTTTACAACGCTACGAAACCGAAATTTGCTAGACCCGGTTCAATGTTCTTGCAAGTAACATATTGATCATCTTCGACAAGAAAAAGAAAGAAAAAAAATTAGCAGTACCTGAAGAAATGCAAAAACTACAGAAGAGAAGTCCAAAGTTGTCCGCCACAAATATAACTTGGCCGCGGCTCCCCTTTGTCTCGTTTTTTCCAAAGCGAAGCTCCGAGAGATAAAGGAGCAACGTGTTCGCCGGTGTCACAGATGTCCGAAGAATTTATGAAACCGATCTGCGTGAAAGCAACGCTCGAGCCTCGAGGCGTCGAGCAGTAGAGTCATCGGCGAGTGAGTCGGCAAGGATGCAACTGGCAACTGAAGGTTTTTATCAAAAGTAAATTATGAATAAAGTTTTGAATGTAAGAAAATAAGACTATGGATAATGTGACAGTTTTTAAATCCAGCCCATCCATGCACCCTATAAAGCCCATATCTAATTCCTTGTCAATAATATAATTTGGTCAAATTGGGTTAACATAGTTTTTTTACTTCAGATTTTGATATACTTTTTTTTTTTAGGTCCAAACCCCCGACAGAATTTGATATACTATAATGTAAATAATTATTTTACGAATATTAAAAAAATTAGTTAAATTAGTTATTTATAATAAGTATATATTATTTTTTTAAAAAATATTTTTATTAATCATATGCATCATGATAAAAATCTTTTAATATGTGTAATCATGAACTACTTTAAAAAAATAATTAGTAAAAAAAAAATTAATGCCTTATGCTCAATCAAATTAGATCTCCGAGACTTCATCTAACTTTTATATTTAAAATATAAAGTAGTAGTTTATATCTTACATTTGGGATAAAAAGGAGGGGACGTAAAAATGGAAGGGCGGGAATCAAACTTTAATTAGATTAACTTTTTTTTTCAAAATTAAAAACAAATGCATGGAGCTTAAAGAGATCATTAAAAAAAAAAAGTGGAAAAAGAAGAGTTCAGTTTAAATTACAGCGAATTTTATACTTTATGTTTACGCGAGTCCTTTTTTTCTTTTTTTTGGGCCAACTATATTTATGGGAAGCTTGAATGAAGGCTTCTGCCAGCCAATGTCAATCATGTCTGCTTCCGCTGGAGCCTGAAGTCGATGGATATCCATTTGTTTTCATTGCTGAGAGGACGAGCGGCGCTGGACTTCTTAAATATGCCAAGCAGCTCTGCCTGCTTTACGTTTTTGGGGTATCTGTGGTAAGCAGAGATCTCTTTCCAGCTGAATTGACTCAACGGAAACATACGTCCATATATTATTATAAGGACCCTTCATGTTGTCGAGTTTTAAGTTAGACCACCTCATCAGGTCTTACAGTACAACTTATAATTAAACACATTTTTAAGGTTTTTTTTTAAACTTTTTATAAAGAAAGTTACTTATTTAGTAGTATTACTTTTAAACCAGTTAGTTGAACGCTCATATAATAAGAAAAGAAGATAATACTACCTCCTGCCCTTAATATAAGACTTTATTTGATTTTATTTCGGTCATAAATATAATACCCCAATCTACTTTGTTTCTCGTATTTATACATTTATTTTTCAAATTAGTCATTCTAACAATGAAAGTTATAATCAATACACTTAATTAGTTGGGATATTTTAGGAAAGACAACACTTATTTAATACAAATAATTAACTTAACTTATTTTCTTAATCTCCTCAAATTAGTCAACTAGCTCTTATAATTATGACCGGAGGTAGTACTTACTAATATGTAACATCTATTATATCCTAATAATTTAATGAAAACGTCATAAAAAAAACCTTAAAAATAGAAAAATTGTAAATAAAAACCCATTATAACATTAGTATTAGTTTTGACAATAATTAATAAGCAATTGACAACAATTTTTGTAAACAGGTCATTATATGCAATTTTTTAATTTTAAATGTCTTTTTTTGTGATTTTTTCTAATTTAATTTGCTTAATGTTTTTTTTAAACCACAATTTCACAATAACGTGTATAAGGACAAGGCTAATATTGATGGAAAAGATAACAGCAGGATGCCAATTTCCCAACTAATTTTTGGTGGGTGTTAAATCACAGGGCAATACGTTGCCGTTCCTGTTGGGGCTTCCGCCGCACTTCATCCTCACACTTGATTGTTCCCTTACATATAAAGGAAAAAGAAAGCTCCACGCCATTTCCGAAAGCGAGCGTGAATTTGAACTTTGGGTGAGAAGCACAATTTTAAAGGGTCAAGCAAAACCCTACGCTCCTCGCCCCTTCTCCGTCCACTTTAATGTCGCCGGCGGCGGCCGTGCACTTGCGGTCTCCGATCCAACCTTCCTCCATGCAAAACCCCAATTCAATTCCTGATGCAACCTCTCATCCGCCTTTCGATCACTCGGCTTTTAGTTATGCTCATTTCTCTGAGAGTGGTGAAAGATTAAACCCTTCAGCTTTCGGTAATGCCAGCGGCCTCGGATTCGCTACGGCTTTCGCTCAGCCTGGACTATCGGGTGCAGGTTCAACAGCTTCGTCTAGGTCGAGGCCGAGGCTTGCGAAGTTCAGGAAGCAGTCAGCGTCTCAGCATGCGAGGTCCAGAAGTAGAACCGCCACCGGTGAGTTGAGTTCGGATTTTAATCCATTTCGTTCAACGGTTGGCAGCTCGGATCAGGTAAATAGTTATAATAGCGCGTCAAACGGGTTTATGGAATGTCCTGCTGGATCAGAGAATGGTCCCGGAGCTGGTAATGGTGGCTTCGTAAATTGTCGGTCGAAGTTCCCGAACACTGGTTTTGTGTTTGGCTCTCAGAGGAGTGAGTTTGCTGTAAATTTAAATTCCCAGCATGTAGTTACAGAAGAATTGGATTGCTCCCTTAGCAGAGGGAAGGTAACAAATGAGAAAGAAACGGAGGTCAGGAAAAGTTATCCGGTGGAGTTTATATTTAATAGTAAACGGAGTGATATGGAATCAAGTTCACGCCAGGACAGACAAAAAACCAGTGGAAATTCAGTGAACATAGCTTCTGGTGACGTGAGAAGCGCGGAATTGGATTTGGAGACTGAACATAGGAAGAGTAGTAGCTCGGGGTTTGTTTTTTGTGCTGATCAAAAGGATTCAGGCTCTAACTTAAATATCCTGGAGGAAGTGTATAGTAAAGATGTGGAGAACTCTGGCGTTGATGATGGTGAGAAGACGGATTGTAAGACTGAACCAGAGTGTGTAAAGAAGGATAGTTTTGTTTTCGTTTTTGGTGGCAAACAAACTGATAAAACATCAACTTTTAATGTCAAAAAGCAGGAGTCCCTTGACAGCATGGGAAAGTCCAATTGCGATATGGGTTCTTTAAATCCCAAGACTGAGACACTTAGTGATAGTAACATGCATCCTGATCAGGATTACCATTTGAGTAATGGTAAGAGTGGATCTGGATGTACTAATAGTACTGCTAATGCTTCTAGCACTTTTCCTGCTCCTAGTTTGACAGATGAAATGAAGAAGTTGAACATAAATAATTCTGAGAAAGTTAGTGGTGCTGATATCATGGGAAATTTAAAAAATTCATTTGTAAATAGTGACAATTGTTTTGTGTTTGGAAGAAGTGAGAAGGCTACTGTCTCCTCTAGTGCCAGTTTGGGAGTCAGTGCTGATCTTCAACAGTCCTGTCCTAATGTTGCTTCAGAGAATACTGATGGGGTCAAAACATGTAAAAGAAATGATATTCAAAATGGAATTGGGTGTGATATTGCCCATGGTTCTGCGGGAATATCTTTCTCTGAGCCATCCTCGGGTCAGGAAAGCGTTGGAAATTTTTACTCAGGCAAAATTTCTGAGTGTCAAGTACTTGAAGATTCACAAGTGAATGTAGCTAAAGCATCATTTGGTATTGACTCTCAATCAAAAAGTCATGTCTCCGCAAACCATTCCATGGGTGTGGATCAAGATAAGCGTTCTAATGGTTTTACAAACATCCCTGAAGTACCTGCGGAGCCTTTCGTGGATTTCAAACCACCAGCATGGGATCCTTCTCGTTTTAAAGAAAATTTATTTCCTGCATCAAATAAAAAGTTAGGATCAAAACTAAAGGGCAGATCTTCTAAAGAAAGAGGACCAAAAGAGGTGAGAAGAAAATTGAAGTCACATTCCTCAAACAAGAAACAGATAAAGAAAGATCATGTATCAAATTACGGAAGTAGCTCGCATGATACCCCTGATTCTTGTGGTAGCTACTCACCCATGGATTTTTCTCCTTATCACGAAACAAGAGATGATGATCAAGATATTAAAGCTTCAGCACAGTTAAATGAACCATCAATCTCAGACCACAACCATGTGCCCTCAGAAGTTCCCATTCCCTCTGATTATAAAGATCAACATTCGGTTACTGTGGGGGGCAGAGAAGATATTTATACACATAATTCCAAAAGTGGAGATCCAAATGAGAGCAAGCCTTCATCAAACAATGGAAATTCTTCTATTGGTGATTCCCAATCATTTGGCCCTGAAGCAGCCTGTCCTAGTTTGAATAAAGAACAGGCCTGTAGCAGTAGTAGAGCTGGAGCTTGTGCAGATGCTGGGGCTGCCTTTAGGTCAAGCACTGATCAGTCTGGCTTTGCTCCCAGCCTTGGTGATCCAACACAGAATTATTTTACATTTTCTGCATCATCAACTAGAGAGAGTACTGTTTCATCAGTTAAGCGCAAACAGAAGAAGAAATATAGGAGGAAAGTGGGAATTGACTCGTATATTATCTCTCCAAATATGAATGAAAAGTTTGGATCTCCTGTTCCAATTTCACTGTCGCCGTACACTGATGTAACAATGAATAGATCTGAGAATAATGATCCGTTGAAGGGGGGGGATTTTGCATCGTTGCCTACAACTCAAGAAATCTGCGAAAAGTGGAAACTCAGGTGCTTATCATAGTAATTTTTTTTTTCGGGATATATACTAATATAGCATTTAAGCAAATGAAAAAAAAAAAAATTGGAAGGCAATCTTTTTAGAATTTAGTTGCCGTTTGTCTCTCTGTTTTTTTTTTTTTGGGCTATTTCTATTAGATCTCATGAGAAAAAATCGTATCTTTTATTTATGGCATGCATCTATGTTTCCATCCAGGGGAAACCAAGCTTATAAAGATGGGGATCTTTCTAAAGCTGAGGACTTCTATACAATCGGAATAAATTCTATCCCTCCAACTGAAAGGTCTGGGTGCTTGAGTAAGCCTCTTTTACTATGCTATAGTAACCGTGCAGCTACACGAATGGGTCTCGGGAGGATTAGAGAGGCTCTGGGGGACTGCCTCACGGCTTTCACTCTTGACTCCACCTTCCTGAAATTACAGATGAGAACTGCAAAGTAAGGGTTTTGTCCCTCTCTTTTTAGATTTTGAAATAGGATGATTTCCATCCCTTAGTAATGAAATGTGATTTTCTTTTCCAGCTGTTACCTTTTGCTGGGAGAGCTAGAAAATGCTCAGCAGTATTTCAATAAGTGCTTGGAATCAAGTAATGGTGTTTGTTTGGATCGGAGAGTCACTGTAGAAGCATCTCAAGGCCTACAAAAAGCTCAGGTATGTCAATTGTTTTCTTTTATGAGCGTAGGGCAACTGAGGGAACATAAGTATAATGCTCTTTAAAATCTTTTTTGTCAAACTATTCATAATTGATTCTTTTCCTGGGCAATTTTATATTACTATTTGTTATTACTACTATCAGTTTTCAGTCAGCAGTTAATTTTTCACTTCTCTTTTCGTTCGTTCGTTCCCTTTTGTAAGATGGCTAACGAGTGACTTTCCATATTAACAGAATGTGGTTGAGTGTAGAGATGGTGCTTCCGAACTCTTGAAAAGGAAGGATTCTGATGCAGCTGCCAAAGCCTTAGGACTAATTTCTAAGGCATTGTCAATAAGTTTATACTCAGAAAAGTTGATTCAAATGAAGGCAGAGGCTTTGTATTTGGTACGTTTCTATTAAAATATTTGTGTAATATATCTTTATGCCTCTATATTCCTCTTGTTCGCTGTTGTTTTCTTCCAATTTTTTTTTTTTTACATGGCTGATAAAGTTGTCTGTTTCTGGGGATATAATGCAGCTGCGAAAGTACGATGCAGCAATACAGCTTTGTGAGCAGAGCCTATGTCTTGCAGAAAAAAATTTGGCAAACAATGCAGAGAATGTGAATACTTCCACGCATGACAGTAACCTGGGTGTCAGATTGTGGAGGTGGTCATTGATATCCAAGTGTCACTTTCATGCGGGAAGGCTTGAAGCATCACTTAATGTTCTTGAGAAGATACAGCAAGCTGTGTCCCTCAACAAGTAATTCAAAATTCATCAAGCATGTTCATTCTTTACTTTGCCCTTATAATCAAAAATGTTTTTTGAATGCTGCATGTGTTTGATGGTCATTTCATTTATCTAGGTTTGTTGAGGACATTGAACCTTCGTTGTCATTAGCTACTACAATACGAGACCTTCTATGCCACAAGGTAATTTCTAAATGTTCATTTTCCTACATTGATGTCTAAAAGATAATTATGAAATGCTATACTATATTGTTGTCATGTTTAGGTGTCATTCAATCATATGGTGGAAACAGATTTGTACAGCACTGTCTGTTATTATTCCTGTATCAATGATGGCATATACTTTCTTTTAAATTTGTCGAGTATATTATTGAAGACATCCATGGAAATACAAAAGAATCCCATCGTAGCATCATTTAAGTAGTTCTCAAAGGGCCTTTTTCCCCCTTTTTAATGTCACTGAGGATGATTCTTTAATTGTTCTTTTTAGAAGATATGTTCTAATTTAATATTCTCTACTCATTAAATCATATATATGTACATGGGATTACATAGGTCGTCTTTTCACACTTCACTGGGACTAGTTTAAGGTTTACAGTGTGTACTAACTCCAGGTGTTATTAGAATATTAGCATTTTTTAGGGCTATGTTGTGTCCTTATTATTCTTGTTGATAACAGAATGCAGGAAATGAATATTTTAAGTCGAAAAAGTATACAGAAGCAATTGAGGAATATACTGTTGCTTTGTCTAGCAACATCAAGTCACGTCCTTTTGTGGCAATATGTTTCTGCAACCGTGCTGCGGCACATCAAGCTTTGGGCCAAATAACTGATGCCATTTCAGACTGCAGTGTTGCTATGGCCCTTGATGGAAATTATGCTAAGGTATGCTTTTCTCAAATCCCATCATTATGTATGCGTGCTAAGATTTTTCTCTTCAGCGTGCCATAGCCTAGAGGCTAGCTTAAATCGTCTGAAAAATAATAACTCTGGACAGTTAATGAGTTTCCTGGGCTATTGCATTTTTATTATGATATGGCTTATGATAAATTTAGTCATCATGTTGATACGGATATATATATATATATACACACACATATTAATTTATCATGAACTGTCTTTCTTATGATTTTAGAAAGGTACCCTATATAGGTTGCTTAGTGTTGGCAGGGTTTTGTAGTTCATTCTTAATTTGCTTGCTGTTACTTGATCAATGTATTTGACTTCTATGCATATTGAACTTTCCTTCTTAAAACGGGTCATCATGTTCTGTGAGATTGCATTATTTTGTTCTCTGTAGATAGAAATCTTTTTCCACTTTTATTATTATTTGCAAGTGGGGAGGTCATCTGATCGTTCCCTTTTCAGGCAATCTCAAGAAGAGCTACCTTACATGAGATGGTTAGAGATTATGAGCAAGCAGCTTGTGACCTCAAGAGACTTCTATCCGTTCTTGAAAATCAATCTGATGAAAAGAACAAGCAGGCTGGCACACCAGACGGGTCAAATGGAGTTGTGAAAGAATCTAGGCAAGTGCATCAGCATTTGCTTTCGGTGGAAGAGAAAGCCAAAAAGGAAACTCCCTTGGACTTTTACCTTATTCTGTAAGTACTTTATATGATTGGAGCTTTCTCATCAGTTAATATATTCTGACTTTGCCTAGGTTTAATCCATTGTACATAGAATATATGTTTGTGCAGCCAAAAGTCGACAAACTGAATGTGCCTTAAATCCCAATGACCACCCTTTGCCCCAGCATCCTCTACATGACGAAGTCATTGAATGTACTGGGAAGTGGAACCTCGACGGGGGATGCCAGCACATTCTGTACGAAGATGAGAAAAATATAGGGAGTGTCTCTGTGAAGCTAAAACCTCAGATTCCGTTAGGTGCTTAGTTTTGCACGTATTCAGAGTTTACAAAGGGGTTTAAAAAATTACTAATTATTAGTAAGGCTCCCGTTCAATCTAGAGGGCGAATATTGTGTTAAGCTGATTGAAAGAGTCTCAGCTACAATGCTATCAAGAATCTTAAATAGAGGTGCAAATGAAGAGGAATACAAAACTAATAGGCTTGAATTGAAGTGATGCACTTACCCAGGGAGACAAATGCATCATACTTGTGTCTCTAGATAGAAGAATGATTCTATATGAGTGGAGAATGTTAAAAAAGCATGTTGGTGTAGTAGGTAGATATGAGCTGTTTGCTCTCACTAAAAGATATGCTAAATAACGGCAGACTAAGTTTTGTTTAGTATATAGTTGTAGTTATATGAGGGTTTGGGTTGATGAGAATAGGCCCAACTTGTGTACTGTATTGCATGTAGTTCCGCATATGGCCGAACTATGTAATGCATGCTGTGATATGATCAATGATATGTGAAGACGTGGCAAAAACGAAGAAAAAAATACGTGTGAAAACATTATTCAGCAAACCATTAGGTCAATTTGGTAACAATAAAGAACCATAAACTTTAAAATTGAAAAAAGAAAGGAAGAAAGAAAGCATTGCACCAATTAATTATTAATCATTAAATGATATGTGAAGCTTCTCTCGGGTGATGTTAAGCATTATTGGTGTATTGCTGACCTCAGCCATACATCAAATTATTTTCATTGCCTTATTAATCGTGTTAAATCATTTTGATATTTTCTTAAAAGCATGTTGTCAAAGAGGAAGCACCACTTTTCTTGAGTGCCAAACCAGTGTCTCAGGTTACTCGATAAGGGACTTAGGTGTCCTATACAATCCATCGTTTATCATATACTTGCAACTTCTGATACACCAATTGAAGCTTTCTACTTTGAAGTGTTTCTACTACACCGAGCAACAATTGTGTCTTATGCACTGATGCATCATCGTTGAGTGCTTTGTGCAACATATGTCAAGTAACTAATGGCACATGGAAGAAATATGTTCAAAAATAGTTGAAAATATGTGATACTACCTCTAGTTCTTAATATAAGACTTTGTTAACTAATCTGAAAAAATTAAAAAAATTATTAAGTTACTTGTTTATAGCATATGTTACATGATATTTTTAAAATACTTACACATATCATTAGATTGTACATCAATTTATAAAAGTGGTAAATTAATTTAGAGAAAAACGATAAATATAATTACTTTAAGGTAATTTATTAACTTAATTTATTCAAATAAATCAATTAGGTCTTATATTAAGGACCGAGAGTAGTATTTGATAATTTTGTCATGAGTTAACTGTTTTCAAGCAGGCTTTTTCAACAATGTAAAATGTATCATGAGCAAAACTGTCAAAATAACACCAGATGAGACTATACTGATTAGACTGGGACATCCATTGCACACTCGTGAATTTTCTTTTATGCATAACTGCTAAGGTAAGGCTTCTTAAATCTAATATCTTTGTATGTAAACCTGTCTATACCAGAGGAGTCAAACCCACTGATACAGCAACTGATATCAAAAAGGCTTACCACAAGGCAGCTCTCCGACACCATCCAGACAAGGTTTGAGTGTTTTATTGTTAATTCTGGATATCATCACTTTAATTATATTTTTGGAAGTTTTAAACTTAATGTTAGGTATTTCTCTTGCGTTGCTTAAATTTAGGCTGGTCAGTTGCTGGCAAGAAGTGAATCTGGAGATGAAGCCCAAATCTGGAAGGAAATTGCACAGGAGGTGTACAAGGATGCTGATAGGCTTTTCAAAATGATTGGAGAGGCATATGCTGAGCTGTCTGATCCTACCAAGGTATTTGCCAAATTGATTATTCCTAATTATCATTCAGCTCAAGCTCAAGTCTCGATGGTTTTTTTATCTTCGCAAATTAATGTTATTTTCTCTTCGAATGTTTATATTTTGAGAGTGGAGAGAGACTGAGAAATAGGGAGGAGGAGCAAGAGAGAAAATTGATAAGGGGACAGCTCACAGTACTATATTCGTAGACTGTGGCTGCATAGCATTTAATCAAGTAGTGAACTTTATTCTGAAAACTGTACTCCTCTCTTCAGTTCCTCTCAGGCTGTGGAAGCATGTTATGCCCTGAGCTTAGTACACAGGCTAACCAAAGAAGCCATAGGGCTTTGTGAATCTACATGCGAACTGATTTTCTGAATAAACCCAACCCATCCTGACCATGTTCTGCAAAAGCTAATATATAGAAGAAAGTGGCATGAATGCTTTTTCCCGAGAAATTAACATACCCTCTAAATGCCAGTTTGAGGTGTGACGTCTACTGGAGGGCAGGTTTTCTCCTTTCATTTGTTTCTCTTCTTCAATGGGGTAGGGATGAGTCCAAAATTTTATTGTAGTGTTTTTTTTTTTTTTATGCCTCAAAATTTTACCGTGGTTGAGCTCCTTAGTTCGCAATAAAGATCTGTTATGTCTTGCACATCGTTGATTTTAAATTTGATAAACTGCTTTCTTTGATTATAGCGCTCAGAATATGATTTTGAAGAGGAGATAAGGAAAACTAAGCAAAGCAGCAGAGGTGGCACATGCCGCAGATCTTCTGATTTTAATGGGTATGGAAGACCGTCTGATTTTTATAGATCTTCTGATAGAAGTTCTAGCAGACGACACGGACGGGATCATTGGAAGACATATGGAAATTCATATTCTCGATGGTGAGAGGATACAGAAGTGGTTGTTGACATTCCCTGGTCCAATCTAAAGTGACGCTCCTTCTACTCATTAATGATGAAGACCTTGGATTCAATGATGGTGTGAAATAAGTGGCTTGGTTATGGCGTCTCAGGTAATAATTGTTCCTTTACTCAGTCGAATCGAAAGTAACTACTAACTCGGGCCTATTTCTCTAATAAGATCTGTATGGCAAATATTGCAGGCATTGTTACAAGTAATATAGCATCAAGCAGCCAAGACAAGGATTGGGAACGTGGGCTACAAAATCTTGTTTTGATCAATTACAAAGCAGTTTCAATTATTTGTTTTGGGGCTAGCAGAGTCTATTTATGTAAGGGTTCGATCGTATATAGTGATGGTGCCATTTTAGAATGGTGAAGGAGGGCGGATGTGATTAGTCTGTACTTTTTCTGGCCAAATGATTAGCCTATACTTAACATACGTGTAATTGCGTGCCTAGGGAGAAGTGGGTCGTCAATAAAGCTTGAGGCAATTCTAGGATATGGGGTTACTGCACCGCTCGGGCCGGTGTTGAAGATTTTGGTTTGGACTGAACCGTTGCAGTAGTTTCTCCCTCTTAGTCGTCCACTTGAATCTGGATTTTGGATTTTTTAATTACTATTTTTGGTCTTAATTATAAAATCTCATTTATAGATTATAAATGAGATTTTATTAGTAGAAATATATATATTTTCACAAAAGGGTCTGACTTTTCTGTTTCAAGGCGCGGCAATGTGATTTTACTTTAAAATGTTCCATGGATGGGTTTTTTCAAACCAAGGATGGGAAAATTGGTTCGGTTCAGTGCTCGGGAATGTCTCATTACGGTTGATAGTTATTTCGGCTTTCAGACCTAATCAAACCGAATAATTGAATGTACCACTCGCCAACACTAAGCTCGACATACAACAGTACAGTACAAAAGCTAACAAACTAGAAAATTGCAGCAAGGCCATTGCTTAACCGCATCCAATGACAAATTCGGAGATTCCTATGCGACAAGGAAAGGCAAGACAGTGAGCATAAATGACTCGTACGTGAACGTTGCAGAGCCAGAGTAAGATGTATCCTTCTCCTTAAACTTCTCGCTTAGACCCTGCAACATATTATACATACAATTCGTTGTGAAATCAACATCAGCCACATAATTCCATTCAACTACCAGATGATAATGATTTACCGGTTTTGGAATACAAGACCAGGAATGCTCCATTTAGTTAACACAGAAAAAAATGCTCACTATTAAAATTTAATACGAGAAAGAATAGGCTTAATGTTCAACACAGAAGTAGTAACAAAAAATGAGAGAGAAAGAAAACTATTTTGAAACAACAGTAATCAAGCAAAATCTTTCAGCAGCTCCACCTACAGCCTTCAAGCCGCCATTTTGTTTTTCCTTTTCTATGCAGCCCTAGTAATACTTAAGCAATTAGGGATATACGATAAGCTAAAAGAGCAGTAAAATTCATTCTTAGTTTTTTCTTTTTGGCAAAAAAATCCGTTCTTACACTTGGAGCAGATGAGAGCGGTAGAATGTAATTTCATGGGGAAAAAACAACGAAAATCATAATTCTAAGTGACTTGGGAGCTCACCTTCACAGTCAGACAACACCTGGCATTAGCAAATCAGGAAAGAGAAAAGCATCAGTACAAGATGATTCATTTTATGCAGTGATTTTAACATGGTATTTAATAAATAATAAATAAATAAGAGCACAGCAAAACATACTCGATGAAGTTGTCATATTCTATAGCCTTGCTTTGCCCACCACTTTTGTCAAACTTGGAGACGAGCAAGTCTAATACCGCAGGTGAAACTGCAAACCCCAAACTCAGCAGAGCATCTCGCAACTCAGGCAAATCAATTCTGCCACTCCTGTCCATATCAAATCTCTCAAAAATGGCCTGATGTAAACAGCAAGTCAGAAGATGTGCAAAAGAGGTTAGAACAGGGGAGAAAAAACAGAGTCAAACAGATATGAAACATATGAGAAGTACCCTCCAGTTCTGCAGACTGTAAAATAGAGCCGTAAATTCCTTGGGTCCTGCAATGAAATAGCCAGAATTCAACCACTGAGAGGAGATGAAAAGTTCCGATAATTGAAAAATAGACAACACATCATGGAAACTACCGGCTAGATAATAAATGATTGATTGGTCTCAAGCCTTAACCATGCTAAGGGAGGACAAAAACATCGGATTAACATGTACAAATGCTCCCCTTTCAAGTTGCAAATTTTGAGGACCACTATTGACAATTGTTCGAAGGGACATCCTTTTACTTTTCTGGTCATACCACTACTAAACATATCATGCACTAGAGAATTCTATTTCGTTTTTATTCTCTTCCTCATTTCCATTCTCACCAAAATCCTTTCTCCGTGACAAAAAGAGCCATTGCACGAAAAAATCTCTTCTAATTTACAAAGGTAATATATATGAGTGGCACAGTTTAACTGCAGACAACGAAGAAACGACATGCAATTCTTTGGTTTTCAGCATTTGATTGTCAGTGTATGTATTTGAAAGTGCTGGCTGATCTTAAATTGACTTCTCAAACCAATCATTCAAATTCCGATTAACAAACCCCACGGTAGACCCTACGGGATGTGGCATCCACTGCAGCAGAAGCGATATGACAGTGCTCCCGTAGAAGCCAAACGACCGAAGCGAGTAAATTGATGCCAAACCGGGGACTCCTTCCAGCGGCGAGAAAGAAACCACTGACGCTCAAAATTGGAAAGCACAGCGCATCCCGAAGCCGATCCAATTAAAGTTGCTACATGAGAAACGAGCGGGGCATTAATGTCATTTAGGAGCATGCTAATCCAGCAACGAATCGCCACATGAGCCCCGCGATTTCAGATGAACGCAATGACATCCACCGGAAACCGTCTTTTCCAACGATCCACATGCGGACAGGCCGCACCAGTCAGCATCATCTCAGCATTTCCTCAGAAAGTCTTCCCTAAGGCTAAACCAGAACAAAACCTAGCTACCTAAATCTAAACCGAATTGCAAAATAAATCAAGGAAAATTAAAAGAGAAAGGTAGAACGCACCAATCTTTTTGGCGTTAGCGCTGGTAAAGTGATGCATGAGAAGGTGAACAGTCCTCAAGCTGAAGCTCTGGTTATACGAAGAAAGCGCCCTTTGCATTTCCTTGTCATCGATCATTCCACTACCGTCCTGGTCCGCCAATTGAAAGCAGGCGATTACATTGGGATCCGTACCGGGAGGGAACACCGACGGCACCAGTGACGCGAAGGGACTCCCATACGGTGGCGTCGACGATGGCTGGTAAACGCCACCACAGGAATGGGAATAATCCTGGGGAGGTTTACCGTGTCCAGAAGATGTCGAGTGGGGGGCAGCATACTGGTCATAAGGGCTGCTCTGGCCATGCGATGGCGGAGGTCCACCGTACGGGTTGGCAGAGTAGTGTTGAGCAGGAGGTGGGGCGCTGTAAGAGTTGGAAATCGGAGGTCCTGCGTACGGATTGGCAGTCGGAGGTCCGCCGTACGGGTTGGCCGTCGGAGGAGCACTGTAACCGTAGCCGTGCCCAGGAGGCGGGTTTGGATACCCAGACATGTTGAACGCAAATGAGATTATCGCTGATTCTGTGTTGGTCAGAAAATTATCCCGCCAATTCTATAGAAAGGGTTAATGTTGGGCGTGGTCTGTCTAAACCGCCGGAAAGGTTTTTAATTTGCCTGTCCTTCACGCCCGCGCGCGGGGCCGAGGAAAAAGGGGTAATGCATGTTCACGGAACTAAAAATTATTTTGGACATGCGAGATAAATTACTTCTTACCATCATCATTGCTTGTATTAATTATCAGGCTCCGTTGGCACCAAAAAAATAATTATCAAGCTTCATTACTAGCTTAATAATATTTTCTTTTCTTTTCGCGCGGAAAAGCTTCCGCTACAGCATCCCCACGAGTTCAAACATATACTGAGTTGTTTATCCGCAATAAATCATTCCAAGAAAATGTGCCTTTCTTATTCTGATTTTGCATATTAAGTGTGTGTTTGCTGTTTATTTTTCAGTTGATTTTACAATTTTGACTAAAAGCTGCAAGATTATTTTTCAACGGAAAAGCAAAAGCATACAATCCGGGCAAGGCACTGTCCGGCAAAAGGTCCCTGGAGATTCAAATAACCCATGGAATCACTCACAAGCGACAAGTCCATCGACGATACCAGTAAATTCAGTACAAAGCAGACGGAGCAGTCAAAGATGTTCATAGTGAAGACAGCCTAGGGAAGCCTAAGAGCTTGAGCATGGTGGCGGATGTGATCATCTATGAAGGTGGCAATAAAAAAGTAAGAGTGATCGTAACCAGGTTGAAACCTCAAGAGCAGCGGCACATTGGCCTTCTTACAAGCCTCTTCAAACTTGTGAGGAAGCAACTGATCCTTCAAAAACTTGTCATCTTCCCCCTGGAAGAACCAACAATACCAGGAGGCTAAAGCTATGAGATACATGTTTTAAAACACAATCATTCCCATAAAAAGCCCTCTAGATGTCTTCTATAAATATTAATCAATTCATCAAGTTTTCCTGAAACAACACAATCTCTTACCTGATCAATCAAGATGGTGGCACGCACCTCATGGAACTTCTTTATTAGACAAGTGGCATCATAATCCTGCATTTTCAATTAAAAAAAAGTTGGTCTCACCAAATATTTGTGCTGCATTGAATGTGTCAGATTCTCCCCAAAATTACCTCCCATTCAGATTTATTGCCGCCAAGATAATTTGTAAATGCCTTCTGTCCCCAGGCACAGTTTATAGGATTTGCAATGGGTGAAAAGGCAGAAACTGACTGGAAGCAGAAATACGAAGATAAATTAGAATGAAGAAGATAAGTTATATGTTATTATCATGACTATAAGTCGGTCTGTATCACATCAAAGAACGAAGTTCCATAAATCCAAAACCTCCTAACGGAAGAAAATTGCGTTACAATCTAATTTCATATAACCAAATCAATTTTATATAAAACATAAAAGTGCCTTTACTGAAGGATGCAACCATCTTAGCTTGCAGTTGCATAATCATCTATACCTTATATTTATTCAGATTTTTAAGGTAGATTGTTAAAGCACCATGTCCACCCATAGAATGACCAAATATAGAAGCATTTGATGGGTCAAGCTGTGGAAAATTATCCGTTAAAAGCCCTGGCAGTTCCTTGACAACATAGTCATACATGCGCCAATTCTTCCACTTCTCTTGTGTGGCATTGACATAAAATCCAGCACCTGTTCAAGAATGTGTATATGCATAGTTGCATACACATAACATTAGCATATATTATCCATGTATAAATAATGCAAACATGATAACAATTCTAAACTTGCAACTGAGATGTCTTCCATGAACATCAACCCAAGAAAAAAAAAATCTTCAATAAAAGAAAAATGTTTAGCAACAATTAACAAGATATTAATGGTAGTTGTTGAGCAATGTTCTGCACGGTACTTCCATACAAACAAAAGTAAGCTTTTTTTTACCACTCCAAAAGCAAGGATGAAGCAGCAGTGTCCCAAACAGGCTGAAACAAGGAGGTAGATAACATGACTCGCCATCTGTCTTTCTCACGTGTCTATTTGCACATGCTTTGAGTTGCTATATGCACTAATGCATTCTAGAAATCTTCTCATTAACATGCATAAACAGAACAACAAAAAGATGAAGGAAAAGGATAAATAGTTTTTCTAAAGTGATCTTAGCATACCTACACCAAAGTCCCAGCTGTCAGCTTCTCCTTCCACATTTAAGCCTCCTGGATTATGAAGTTAAAAGTCAGAACAAAGCTGCACCCCATCTTGTAGTGCAGTTGAAATGGACGAGCATTCCACAACTATACGATCATGCCTATAGAAGTGATAAGTAAGCATTTTCAGACGTCCATATGCACAAAGGGCCAGTTTCCCATTAAGAAGTTTACAATATTATTTCTCATTCAAGCAGATGTCATCTGAAAACTATAGTTTTAAACTTCCAAAACAGAGTTTCTCTATCTCTCTTTTTTTTTCACCCTCCTTTTGTCCTAGAAAAACCTTACATTTCCGAAGGGACAAGTAATACACGAGATTTCATTTGCCCTATGATCAGATTATTAACTCTTCTCCAAACGTCAAATCAGAAATGTGCAATGTGATAGCATATCTCTCTTAAAAGGGACACAAACTTCAGCAAGACTATGCAAGCCCAGGGAGAAAAAAACTTGAGCACTCTGAATATAACATTAAAATGTACCCAGTAAGGCCTCAATTTCGAGCATTGTGGATAGAAATTTTTTTGTTGAGAGCTCAAAAAAGAAATCAAAGCCAAACAAGGAAAGAAATCCAGTAACCCAAAAAATGTGAAAAATAACTCTATACTAGTGCTAATGGAGCCTGTGATGGCCGGATTCCTTCTGTTTCAAGCGCTGACGACTGGAGAATAGGGTTGTTAATTGCAGTTCGTAAAGCAAGAAGATCCAACAATCTCAAATAGAACATAGATCAGTTGTTATGCACAAAACTAAAGCATTCCTTCATTTCTATGTCGCTCACTTGCTCTGCTGAAAATCGAACGGTTTGAGGTTCTATTAACTTACTTGGGGATGTATCTGGGACAATCAAAGCAATTCCCTCATTTGCAGCTGCACGCTGAGCTCCGGACTTAATTATAAAGTTCTCGTCTGAGCAAGTGAGACCGGACAGCCAGTACAGTACCTTTTCACATTGAAACCAAAAACTTCGAAGTTTGAATGGTCATATATCACATAGGACCAAATCGGCATACAGGTAAAAGAAGTGATGTATAAATTGCCAAGAACTTCATGCACGAAGTGTTAGCTTCAAAACACCGTCAGATCAATATTACAGACACCACAACAACAGAAATCGTTCACGATTGATTTCTCTAAAAATAAAGTGTACATTCCGTTTTCAATTGTGAGATGATCTGAAAGTTAATTTTCGCACGGCTTCAGATTTATTAATTCATTACTTGGAAGTTTTGCCGGGATGAAAACAGAAGAGTAAGCGATTGAATGAGAAAAGCGAGGACTTACAGGGAATTTGTGAGAAGGTGAAGGAGAGGGTGGCAAGTAAATGTGGAAAGTCATGCAGCAGCCGAGGGTAGGGCTAAAATGTTTAAACCTCTTGTTGTGCCCACCAAACATCTTCGAGCTGCTGATTTCTGTGGGTTTGGTTTCCATCTTTCTCTGGTTAGGTCTCTCCTAGCTAGACTGTGCTACTGCTCTTCACTCTTCTGCAGATTTGTCAGCGTCTTTGCTTCGGGAACGATCCTTGTGTCTCAACCTCGTCAGGAACAAATCACAGTCACTTCCCTCTGTTTATATCTACCACGTAATATGATTACTTTTATCAGAAAACTTAAGCAAGCGGACTCATAATTTTATTAAAAATGATTGAAAGCAAAACCTTCAAACAAAAGAAACGCAATAATACTCTTGGGCCTAAATTTGGGGTGGGCTAAGTTTTCACTAATGTTGTAAGCCCAGTTTATATAATTTTGTCATGTCCAATAGTATTTATAGGGACCATTCCAAGTTTTTGTACTTTGAAATGACTGTTTAATTATTAGTTTTTTTCACCAACAAGTATTGGTCTAAGTGGAAGGGACTTGGACACTTTAAACATTATGTCTTGGGTTCGATTCTTGAGATGGTATGTATGGAGAAAAATATGATGGGAGGAGTCCCTGCTACGTCGTCTAACAATACCTCGAGAGATTAGTTTCTTACCGTTTGAGTGGGAGGATACTCTGGGCAACTAAAAAAAAATTTATTAGTTTTTTTCAAAGTATATTGCTTTTCATGTGAATTCATGATTAAATGATTATATTTGAAAAATAAAATATATGACTATATATAATTAAAAACTTGACATAATAAATATAAAGCACTTGATATAAGTATTTCTGGGGAGAAAACAAAGCATAATGTGAGAAGAGGCTAATTAACTGGATGAACTGACAGTATGTAAAAGGTTCCTATAACACAAGAAAATGGCTGTCATGGGACATCACCCGTATTAGGAGAGTAGAGAGGCCAGCATAAAATCTATGATCAGTGCACACGACTCATCAGCCAGCGTGTTAAGCACATACGTAGTGAGCATGCTGCGAACCTATTAAGCTCTCCTAAGATTTTAATTAGTTTAGCATATAATTAATGTTAGTAATTATTAACTTTGTTAACTTTGGCTATGCGCATCAATATGTTTACATGCAGCTGTGATATGTTACCCAAGTCAATGAGGTGGTCGCTAGTTTGGCAGGCATGTATCTTATATTTAATATAAAAGCTAGTCAGTAATTTAGATTTGATTATAATATAAGATATTAATTCACTGTTGCCAGTTTATTACTTCTTCAAAAAAATCACTATCGATTATAAAGGTTTCCTAATAAAGGATAGCTCCAATGCACATTACTAAAGTAGGTAGTGCGGGACAATCAATACATATTTGTTATAAATAATCAACTTAATTTTTTTAAAATATTTTTAAATTACTTATGTAACTCTCATATTAAATATCAGGTATAAATCAGTGCTCACATATCATCATAGTATTAGTGAGGACATTGGACGTGGAAGGGGAGATTAGGTCCAACGATACTATTGACTAATCCATGCTCTAGACCTTTAACAAGAGGTATATCGGTTCTGATCCTTTTTATAAGGTTTTTTTTAGCTGTTTTATCTATAAAAAAAAGACATAAAAAGAAGTTAGAAATTGTAATATGTTAATTCAGGCACTAAGAGGTCAAAATCACAAAAGAAGAAGTAGTGTCTGATCTGATATTTTATAAATATAGCCAGATAATTAAAATGCTCTTGTATCATATTTTCTTAAAAAAAGTTATTAAACTTATAATTGAAAGTATATTTCTTGTCATCGTTTGTTCAACACTTGTCATTATTAATTCACAACTTATTAATAAATAAATTGTCATTATTAGTATATTTTTTGCCATTTGCTATTCAGCAGTGGTCATTGTTATTAGTTCACGCCTTTTTAATAGACTTTTTTATACAAAGACATTTTTGTTACATAACTATATTTGTAAAGTACAAAATTAGGAATCACTTTCTTCTAGAGCTGATAATGCGGGCTGGCGGTGCGGATACGGGCCAGCCCGCAGCGGTGCGGGCTGAAGTAGCCCACACCCGCTAGTATTTTTTTAAAAAAATAAAAAATATGCTGTTTTTGACACCTGAATGCATTCTTCAGCCAAATAATTACTCGTTTAAAATTGATGGTCAGTACAATGAAAGTAAAAATCAAGGAAATTACTAGAGAAATGAATTTAACAAGGAAAGCAATACTGCATCGAGTAATCACGAGCTTAAGGAACCTTTTCCATAAATGAACAAGCTCATATTTCAGGATTTGGTCCGTTAATATGCAAAAAAGGGTCAAAGACGAAGTAATCTATTTCAATTGTGAGATCTTCAGCCAAATGTACTCAGTATATAAATAATACCATTTTTCAGAGAATAATCTTTGCGTCTTTGCTCCTTCCCTTGGGCATCAAGACTTTCACCATCAGAGCTGTTTTCACTATCTGAATCAGTGACACTGTCCGAATCCCTAAAACAGCACAACTATGGAGATGGCCGGAGACGAGTTTGTGATTCGCGAAACAAGGTTGCTGCGTTGCGTGCTGTGAAGATGAGTGATTGAGTGAAGAGTGAAGATGCATGGCTACGCCTGTGACACGAAGATGATGGGCCTGGGCAATGGCGATTCGAAGACGATGGGGCTGGGCGATGGCGATGTGAATCAAGCAGACAAGGAGTGAGGGAGGCGGTGTCGCAGTGAGCTGCGTGCGTGGTCAGCAATGGTGTTTCTGATTTCCGGGGAGTGGGGACTGCGTGGTGGCCGCGCGATGATGGAGTGAACTCAGATTCTCGGTCTCTCAGAAGTCAGAACGTTAGAACAGCAATTGAAACTCTGAAAGGATGAAGGAATGAAGGACTAAAGGGTGAACCGGTGAAGGGCGAAGGCTAGCACTGGTTATTGGTTAGGGACTTAGGGTATGTTTGGATTGGCGTTGGACAAAACTGACTTGTAGTCCAACTGACTTTTCTAACTGAAGTTAGAATAAAAGTCAGTAGTGACTTACAGGCTGGCAGCACGATTTTGTTTTAAGAAAATTTATGATTAAATTTAAATTTTCAGTTTTTTGGGTTGGGCTGAAAATAAAAAATGACCTGGTGAAGTTGGACCACCATAAAATATATGGACCATGAGTGATAAATAGTACCGAAATGAGTAATAATTATAAATTCATTTTAAGAATAAGATAAAAATCCAGATCAAGACAATCAAAAGCAAATAAAGGTGGGAGACTTATAAACGGATTACATACCTCGACGTCTATTTGCTTGCATGGATTTTACCATCGTTCATTTGAGTACGCCAACTCGCGGCTGGTTTTTATCCCAGCATTGTCCCCTCCCGTCAAAACTAATTTACTTGATTTCTCAAATTTGACTGATCCCAGACAAAACGGAAAAAAAAAAAAAAGAATGCCCTACAAAATGCCTGGCATAGCGAATTATGGCTAGGACTTTATCTGGTGCGTGTGCTTAATTTGTTCTTGTTTGAATTCAAAGAGATTAAAGCAAGTTTCACAGCTTCGCATAATATGGGAAAAAAATGCGGCAATATTAGGTTAAGTGGCATTGTATTTGTTCAAAAACTGGGACCGAGGTTTGCGACAAAGCACCCCGACTTTGACAGTGATACTCCTATGTCCTTCATCATAAGATTAAATTTTTTGAATAAATCTGTATCTTTTTATAAGATCTTCTTTAAATTTGTCTAAACATTTAATACTCCTCTGGTTCTATTTATAAGGTAGAGAGAAAAGATATTTTTTTAGTCCTATTTATAGGACACTGGAAGAAATTTTTTTTATGAATGTACAATTTTATCCCCTCATTTATTATTGTGTTGACTTTGTTTATATGAAGTACAGTGCATATTAAATAGGGATAGAGTTGAAAAGTCATTAAATTTTAAATAAAAATTAATGAAGTTTAAGATTTTTCTTGGTTTGTGTGAAACATGTTAGAAGTGCCTTATAAATAGGACCAGAAGAATACATTATTATTTATTTTATCCATAATTTAATGCATTTAATATATTCTCTTTCTTCGTTTATCTTATTATAACTCTCTAACATTTATCCATTTATATATAGAGGTATATTTGGAAAAAAAATTATATTTGCTTAATTGCTTTTAACTAATTTTTTAAATCTCATAATTTAGTTAAAAGATTTTATAATAAGAAATAGAAAGAGTATTTAGTAGCAGCATGTTTCACGATTTCCCGTGATGAATGCTCGCTCCTTCTTATTTGGGGCCTTTTTTGTGTTCATGACGAAGAAATGCGCAAACTTTTAAGATTAGAAAATAAAAATGGTATTCATCCAGCAATTAAAAGGCCACATATGTTTGTATGAGGTTGAGAATGTCAACTGATATTCTCTAGGACTTGTGAATTAATTATCTTTATCCTATAATTAAGCTCAGATGAAGTAATTAATTATCTTTAAAAAAAAGGTGGCAGAAAAATTATATCTAAAAAGAATATGAAAAACTGGAGCATGTGATTCCGCAAAAACATGGTTTCCAATAAAACGTGGCGGTGTTCATCGTTCATACCGCGAAAAGAAACATGCCGTTATTTCATTTGTTCCTTGGATGTTCTGTTCATTCCTTGGGTTACATCTATTTTTGCCATTCCTATGTCACTTCAACGTTTAGAGCTTATTGGAATCCGTAATTAATAAAGACTTATATAAGTATTTTTTATATAAATCACGACAAAATTGTAATCACGTATTCATCTCTTATTTCACAAGTCATTATTAAAATATCACATTTAAATGATTCTAAACAAGTCTTAAACGATTGAGGAACTAGAGATTTGGCTGAAGGCAAAATACCATGCTGGCTATGAAAAATAATAATAGCCGGTGAATCTCAAATTTTAAGTACTTTATTAAATTGATTCAATTTAATGACTAAATCACGGGAAAAAAACATTCTTTCATCAACTGAAAACGCTCTCTTTCATATTTTTATCTTGACATGGGCCCCTGCTCATTTGATTTTATTTATACAACACTTTTAATATATTTTAAACAAGTTAAGAAGAACTTTAAATTTTATTAACTCTTATTTAAAATTCAAATTTTTTTTAACTTTATCCCTATTTAATATATATTATATATGTAAATAAAATCAACACAATAATAAATAAAGAGTAAAATTATATATCCATATAAATTTTTTTTTATCAATATCCTGTAAATAGGATGAATTTTTTTCCCCCCCTACTTTTACTCTTCATTTTCATTTTTCAGGGTAACTTCAAAACTCATTAGTAAAAAAAAGGGCGGTGATCCAGAAGTTTGGAAATATGATCAGATAGGGTACCAGACAGCTGTATCGTAGACGGAGGATCGTCTTGTCATAAAGATAAACTCAACATTGTTAATGCTAAGCCCGGAAAATTCAAAAGGACATTTAATGCTATGGCCGGTACAAGATTCTAGCGCACGCGCGCCACACTGGAAATTTTACCCTGAGTTTTTGGGTTTAGATTATCATATTTTAACTCACAAAATATAAATTTTTGAAATAATTATTAAAATAGTCTATACAATTTTTCTCCTTCAAGTTTGAAACCATAAATTTTAGTTATTTATACAATAATATGGTTCTTAAAAATATGAGTTATTCTTTAGTTTTTTAGGAGTGAGATTGATGTTGTTTGAAAAAAAGGCCTTAAAAGTATTAGAAATTATTATTTTTTGTTTTTAATGACTGGCATACCCTATTAAAATAGGGTAAATATCAAAAGACTTTTTTTTGCCAGCAAATATCAAAAGACTTTAAATGTTATAATAACGTTATAATATAAATTAATTAAAATTGTCTTATAATTTTGAAAAGAAAGTGGATGATAGAGATAAAAAGGCGGGAAATATTTAATGGTGAAACTGGTTAGAAGAGACATTGAGCCATATAAAGGAGATGAAGCCATGTGCCGCGGAAATACTAGGCCGGCCCCAACTCCCACGGTCCCACTTAACAAGAGTTTAACATTCAATTAAATTAAAGGCTCAAATAAGACGAGGCCACGATAGGCACCGCATCGATGACATGTAATGCAAGCAAGGCCGTCTCGGGAATACGGCCAAGGTAATTCAATGAATACGACAATCAAATTGGCACTTTTGATATGTATATGATTTTTGTCCAACCACATATTAAAAATAAAACCATACGTGATGTAGTTGTATATAGGAAAATACGCATTGATTTAAATTTATATATTACTTCTGATCCTTAATATAAAACTCTGTTTGACTTTTATTTTGATCCTAAATATAAGACCCTAATCTACTTTGTCTCTCATATTTATATATATTTTTTCTAAAGTAATCATTCTAATAATAATAGTTCTAGTTAATACACTTTATTAGTAAGGATATTTTAGAAAAGATAACACCTATTTAAAACAAATAACTAACTCAACTTATTTCAAATTAGTTAATTGACTCTTATAATTAGGACCGGAGGTAGTATTTACTGTACTTTTTCCCTTTCAAATAAAGAAACAAGGAAGTTTTTTCATCCACTGCTTATTTCCCACAATATACTATTTTTTTATTAACGCTTTTTTAAATCTAAATTCTACTTATTTCAATGTGATTCAAAAAAAAAACTTATATATCTATATTTTCCTCATTTTTAATTTGTGACATATGTTGCTTCCTTTCTTTATTAAACCATTTAAGCTTATTTTGTCAGCATTGATGGTCTCATAATGTTGTTCGTTAGCACATTTTCTCTTATACATGGACTAACGGTATTAATAGAGTAAAGTTAAAAATATTTAATTAAAATATATGTATATATTAAATTAAAAATTGAAGAAAGATGTAAATATTTATATAATGTTTTTCATTTAAAAAGTTGTGGTAATTTATAAATTTAGGTTTTCTTAAACAATCATGTGAAGGTGAAAATGAATGCCACGTAGTATAAAACATTAAATTCGACAATAATGTATAGGAGCGCATGTCCAATCATGCACACTCTACGTTGTTATTATAAATTATTGTTAATGAATTTATACGGATAGGTAATAGGTTTGTTGAGGTGGATCAGTACTTCAAAATATTTTTTTCGCGTGTATCCAATATTCTAAAATATTTTGTAATATATTTAGTATTTTGAAATATTTTTTAAGAGTACCCAACAGCATGAAATATTTTTTCTGCTTTGGTATTAGATACATCAAAAAATATTTTATGGTGTTTGAAGCATCTAAAAAAATTACTTTGAGATGCTTGATGCATCAAAAAATATTTTACGGCGCTTGACGCATCTAAAAAAATATTTCAAGGTGCTAGATGCATCACAAAATACTTTAAAGTGTTAGATACATCTGAAAAAATACTTCAGGATACTATATGCATTTTAATCCTAAATTTTAAGTAATTTTTAATTTTTTATTATTGTGCTTCTTAATTGTATTAAACTTTAATATTATATTAATTTATAGTCTCTCTCGGTCATTATTACATAAGGACATATATGAAAAAATTGGTGTTTCATCCAGAAACTCGAGCACGCTCTAAAGCATGTCTTGCATGCGCGGCCAGGGGGACATGTACTGGATATAGAGACATAACACCTGGTCTTTAATATAAGTTATTTATAAAACATTTTTGTATACCAATAAATGTATTTAATTGACGAATTTTTTTAATTTTATTATTACTAATTTTTTTATTTATAAAGTATTTTATTTTTTTTATTTTTCCTTTTTAATAAAAAATTAAATAAGAATAAAATTAAAAAATAAACATTAAGCATAGAACCAAAATTTTTTCCAAGTAACTTATATTTAGTATTGAATGGTACCGACAGAGGCAGTAGAGATTTGAGCAGACGAGAAGGCACAAGGCAAGATTAAGACCGGTTTGGAATAATTTATAAATAATTTATATAGTACTATTTAATTGTGATTTATAAAATACAAGATAAATATATGAAGGAAAATTTTTATAAAAAGTGTTTATAAAAATTTTTTACTGTTACGCCAAACGGGATCTAAGAAAGGATAGAATTCATGGATAAGAGAGTCCGAAAAGGGAAAATAGAAAGGAAGAGATGGGGGCATCATAAAAGACACATGCAAGGGAGAAGCAGTCATCCGATATTAATGACCGCTGGGGTGGTTGGCAACACCCCTTAACCATTAATGCTTCCACCCTCCGCCACCTCCCAACTCAACCACACCGCCTCTTCGTCACTTTGCTTCCTTCCTTTTTTACTTTTTAGTTCAGCTTTTCCTCCAATTAATGTCGCTTCTTAGATTTATGGTTAGTACGACTATTAATTACCAGGACTAGCCAGTGTTTTGGCCTGCCGGCTTTCAAATTCAACTAAGCCAACCCAAACTTAATTGTTTTCAATGCACATCATTTGGTAATTTCCCCCACGAAAGTTTCTTTTTCCTTGTTTGTGGAGTCCTACATTTTTGGGTTTTTTTTTTTTTTAAATTTCAATATTCTGCTGTGATTTATGGTTGGGTGGATGAACGACCCCGGGCGGAGAAAACATAGTTCTAATTCAAGTCTTTGTTTTTTGCTCTGTTCTCTCTTTCTTTGACGTGTGCTGCTGGGCAACTCAGAAAATTTAAAAAGGGTCTGCTTTAATTCTCTCCGTAACTCTGTTCATATCACTAATTGAGATTTAGGAAGCTGGAAGCTTCGTTTCTTTGGTCGGAAATTCTGGGAAGGAAAAGGAAGACCAAATATTAGCTGGGTGTTAGTCAAGCAATATCTACCAATAAGATTTGATTGTTGCTGCGTCTCTGGTAATAGAAACTTGTGGTCAAAAGAAAACAAAAAAATCAGTAGTTGGATTTGCAGAAAGCGAAAGGCGTCATGCCAGGCTATATAAGCGGCAGAAAAATCATGAATTAGACGCCAAAAACAAGCACCGCTCAATTGAATCTTTGTTTGTTATACTTAAATCCCTCGTGTTAGATCCTGGTGGGAAGCATAATGGGGGTGGTTCGTCATGCATACTCAAATGGATCTGTCCAGAATTGTAATGGGTTGGAAGAGAAACTCGATGATCTTCGAGCGCTTCTTGGGAAAGCTCATGGCGATCCTCTGAGAATTGTGAGTGTTGGAGCTGGTGCTTGGGGAAGTGTATTTGCTGCTCTGCTTCAGGATACGTACGGCCAATTCCGGGATAAGGTACAAATCAGGATATGGAGAAGAGCAGGAAGAGCAGTGGATAGAGCCACAGCAGAGCATCTGTTTGAGGTCATAAACTCGAGGGAAGATGTGCTGAGAAGGTTGATCCGACGATGTGCTTATCTGAAATATGTCGAGGCAAGACTCGGGGACAGGACTCTTTTTGCTGATGAGATTCTGAAGGATGGGTTTTGCTTGAATATGATTGATACGCCACTTTGTCCCTTGAAGGTGGTCACCAACTTGCAGGAAGCTGTTTGGGATGCTGATATAGTGGTCAATGGCTTGCCTTCCACTGAAACCAGGGAGATTTTTGAAGAGATTAGCAAGTATTGGAAGGAGAAAATCACAATGCCTATTATAATCTCCTTGGCCAAGGGCATAGAGGCAGCTTTGGAGCCTCTTCCCCATATCATAACTCCTACAAAGATGATTAATCAAGCGAGTAAGACTTCTCTTGTTCTTTATCTACGAGTTATCTTTTCCCCATGGTAATGTCCCCCATGCATCTGCTAGGATAGAATCATCCCCGAGAAAGGAGACTGTGAACACTATCTTCTTATTTTTGTTCTCTCTTTCAATGCATCATGGGAGCAAATGAGATCATGAGTCCGATATGCATATATAGAGCTTATATCTGAAAGATGTCAAGAATCATTCTTTCTCTGATGATATCGTAGTTGATGAACTACTCACATGATTTTTTTTTTAAGTTCTGACAGATGAAACCTTATAGTAAAGGAAAATTATAAACACCGTTCGGGAACTCTGATACCTGACTTTGGTTTAGTAATACGATTCATAGAGCTATTGCATGCTTCATGGATTAATGTGAAGGTTGTGGCGAATATAGTTGGAGATTTAGCGCAGCAAAGGAACTTGGAGCAGCATTATTGTCAATTTCACCCACAGTGCTAATCATTCTTGTTTATCTTCCTTCGTTCTTGTGAAATTGATCCAACAAACTTGCGGCTGTGCTAATTGCTAAACTTAACCTTTATAATTATAAAATGTGCTCATTTTACGGAAATATGCCTGGTCATATTCATGCCCAAGGAATAAAGCAGATAGACTGTGTTAACATGGAAACTAGTTTATTAGTGCTGATCATCAAATTTTTATTTGATACCCACATTTTATATTGGCATATTTTCCTTTCTTAATACCCCATTGTTTTTCATTCTCAAATGTTTACTATGGATACTTGATAGCTGGAGTGCCTATGGAGAACATACTTTATCTTGGTGGTCCAAACATCGCCTCAGAAATCTACAACAAAGAGTATGCCAATGCTCGAATATGTGGAGCTGAGAAATGGAGGAAACCTCTTGCTAGGTTTCTACGACAACCTCAATTCATTGTGTGGGACAACAGTGACCTTGTCACACATGAAGTCATGGGTGGCTTGAAGAATGTCTACGCAATCGGAGCTGGTAAATTAAGCACCAAACTAGACTTTTCTAGCTTTTCAGCTGATGTGAAACTTGCATTTCAGTGCTCAAAAAAATCTCTCCGTTAACAACACAACGCTTGGTTTCTGTTTGACACTTTTAGGAATGGTGGCAGCACTTACCAATGAGAGTGCTACCAGCAAATCTGTGTACTTCGCACATTGCACATCAGAGATGATATTTATCACTCACTTGTTGGCTGAAGAACCTGAGAAACTGGCAGGGCCATTGCTGGCCGACACTTATGTAACCTTGTTAAAGGGTCGCAATGCCTGGTACGGTCAAATGTTGGCCAAGGGTGAACTCAGACCAGACATGGGAGATAGCATTACTGGCAAAGGAATGATTCAGGTGTGTTTTGTGATTTCATTGCCTCTTCCTAGTTTCTTCCCAACTTTATATGAAGCATCTTATATTGTTTGAGAACTTGAAATGGTCTTTGGCATTCTCAATGCTGTTCAAACTTCTGCCAAGTGAAGAAATTTGTTGACTCTGCTATATGAATTTTAACAGGGTGTATCAGCAGTGGAAGCATTCTTTCAACTTCTAAGTCAATCAAGCCTGAATGTGTTGCATCCTGAGGAAAACAAGCCCGTTGCTCCAGTGGAACTCTGCCCTATTTTAAAAACACTATATAAAATACTGATATTCAGGTGATTTTTCTGCAATCTATAACCGTGGTCTTGTTTTGTCTTCATTGCTATTGCTGGGGTTGAAACGATACGAGTGTTGGGATTTGTCAGGGAAGAGTCAGCACAAGCAATTCTGGAAGCTTTGAGGGATGAGAATTTAAATGACCCCCGTGAACGCATTGAGATTGCACAAAGCCATGATTTCTACAGGCCTTCTCTTCTAGGTCAATCTTGACTATTAAATTCTCTCGCCCGAGATAATCCCCCGTGAGCGTTTGGTATTCCAATAGCAACTTCTTGATGGATTTTGTATCGCAGTATTATTGCCCGTATACTGTCACAATACATACATTCCGCTTGGAAAATTGTACTCATGATAGCTTCAAAACGCTACTTATTTGGCACGATATACAATACTGGGCAGGATATGATCCCATCAAAACTTACGCTTTAGTACTTTGTATTGTTGCACAGGAATGGATTTTCATAACATGGTTAAAAATTAAGACACTATTTATTAAAAAGAAGAGCAGTGATCGGGAGTGAGCGGGTCAGATGATGTATTGGGGTTCAAGATTTTTCAACAAGGCCAAGAGTTTTTACATACTTTTGTTTTGTACTCGTCTGATACTCTAGGCAGAGGAAAAAAAGAAAGTTTTTGGTCCTATTTAAAAAGAGAGAATTTTTTTTTTATATAAATATGTAATTTTAGCTTTCATTTGTTATTACGTCGATTTTGTTTCCATAGAGTATAAAGTATCATAGAGTGTAAAGTATAATGTATTAAGTAAAGATAAAGTTAAAAAGTTATTAAATTTTAAATGAAAGTTAATAAAATTTAATATTTTTTTGGTCTATATGAAACATATTGAAAATGATTTATGTATAGGATTGAAGGTGTATTAGTTAGGAAAAATTTTAAAGAAATTACTATTCAATTTTAAAATTTCAAATAAAAAATTACTATAAAAATATGTTGTTATTTATTTTTCGAGTATAGTTATTTTCTTTACGAGTGTAGTAATCAATACCTATTTAGTATTTTGAAATTCAACAGTTATTTTTATGTTTTTCCTATTAATTAAAATGATGAGTAATTAATATTTTTACCTAGCCACAAATAGATATAATTAGTATTTTAATTTTAACTATTAGTTTAAAGCCTGAGTGAAATAAATGAAAAAAGTAAATTGATGAAAATGTGCAAAAATTCTTAGTCCCGTTGGCCGACGTTTCGAGATTAAAGTTGTTAAGTTGTCGAGGTCAAAAAAAAAAAACGTTTGTTAAGTTGTACTCTTTTTAAGGAGTTAGAATTTCGAAATCTTTTAATACAGATGTCGTGATTAATGCGTAATAAATCATGATCTTAATTCCTGATTTTATTTTAGTTTCCCAACCAGTTATTTTTATGATTTTTCGGTGGCATACACTTTTTAGGTTAAATATATTCAATAGATATGTTAAAAATTATAAAGGGTTAATTAATCCGCAAGTTCTTATAGTTTCAATGAATTTTGAATCAGGTCCCTATAGTTTTTTTTCTTTTTATTAGGTTCTTATACTTTTACCTTTTTTAATTAGATCTTTGTATTTATTTTTCTTTTAATTAAATCCTTATAATTTCACTAAATTTTTAATCAGGTCCATGTAGTTTTTATTTTTATTTTTTAATTAAATATAAGCTTAATTAAATAGATTAATACTGAAATATAAAATATTAATAATTAAATTAAATTAATAATTATGTAATAAAAAAGTAATAGAATTAATTAATTTAGGAAATTTTTTTAGAACAAATAATTTTTTTGCTGAAAAAATTAAAATCATTATAATAATTCAATATCTTTAGAATATTATTGTTTATAAACTAATATTAAATAATATATACTATTTTATGTTTATATAATAGTACTATTAGAATTTATAAAATAAAAAATAAAAAATTCAGGGATTTAATTAAAAATAAGGTGAACTAATAAGGATTTGATAAAAAAAAAAATACAAGGATCTAATTAAAAACAAGTGAACGTATAAAGACCTGATAAAAAGAAAAAAATTATAAGGACCTGATTCAAAATTAGTTGAAACTATAACGAGCTGTGGATTAATTATCCCAATTATAAAATTAAACAAAAAAATCAAAATTATTTTAATTTTTAATTTAGTCATAAATATAAGTCTTATTATATTTATCTATTTTTTTAAAATAATTTTTGTAATAGTTGTATATGTTAAAAATTTATTAAATAACACTTGATTAGTAAGAATATTTAAAAAAATAATATATATTTATTATAAATAATTAATTTAATTAATTTTTATAATCAATCAATTCCTGCAAATTATGTGATATAATAATTATAGGAGGGACATAATGCTAAACATGTCCCCTCGAATTAGCGCGTGTGAAGACGACTGAGGCTGACGCACGAGTGGCTGGTGGTGGGGCGGCGTGTATCTAGAATTCTAGGGCAGCCGCGGCGGAAAAGATGGTGGAATCCGTGAAATCAAATGAGCTCCAAGAGACCTTAAAGCCATTTTATCAGAGAGCTGCAGAAGCAGAGGTAAGGCTTGTCTGTAATTTCCCTCTTGTTTTTGAATTTTAACTCGTCAACAGAAGAAAATACGGGACTCTGAAACGCATTCGCCTCTTATTTTCTTCTTTTGTCTTCGATATTGATGAGAGCACTCTTCTTTGCGCTCATTCATCTTCTTCCTATGTGCCTTTTTTAGGCTGAAATTCACCTATTACTGTGAATCTGGGTGTACTTTGCCGTATACAAAACAAACTTTTGGTTGGGGATTTTAGGTCGGTTTGTTTTAGCGCACTTTTCTGTGAACCACGGCTCTCGTATGACTCACATCTGATTTAGTGTCTTCTTTTGACCCCGAAACTATGGAATTGCCTGTCAAGATGACTTTTACGGCTGTTTAGGTGTGCATAAATTGGAGCTTAAGTAATTAGTATATGATTAATATTCTTTTGTCCTAGTAAATCAGAAGAAATGAATTTTAAGGTTAATAACAAGATTTTGATCTAAAATAAATAATATATAAAAAATACTATGCCAAACAAACTCAAGTATGCAAGGCATACAAGTTTTTTGACTTTTTTCCGCATAAATTCGTAAAGGAGAACCATTGGCTAACAAGAATGTCTGCTGTAGGAACGTCTAACAAGACTTGAAGCTGCCTTGGCCAGTGAAAAAGGTAGGACCTGAAGCACTTAAGATAACCATTGGTACTGAGATATGTTGGTCTAAATTGTAACATATATGTGAAACTTGCTCAGACGCAGGAAATGAGGAACACTTGAAACAAATTGGTGATCTTCAGTCGAAGCTTGAAAAGGCTGACGCAGAGCTTGTTGCAGAAAAAGAGAAGGTTGTTCCCATTTGTACGTTTTCCACATGTTGTATTTTAAAGGAGTGGACAATTGCATTTATATTTTAACCAGCCTCTTAATTTTTAGGCTCAGAAGCTTGCCGCCGAAAATGAAAAGCTTCAATACCGTATAATCCATCTTTCGCGGGCACTCAAAGAGGCCAACATGAAGTTACAGCGAGTGAGCTTTTTTCTGTCCATATCGATCCGTCTGGAATACTTATATAGTCATTACTGACTACATGCCTTACCTGCCATCTAAATGAAATTAGGGTCTCTGAAAGATAGTTATGAATCTCAGCCTCATATAGTAGTTGGGACTGAATTTCTGTGTATAGAAAATTAAGCAAGTAAAATTTTCCATAGGTTTCGAAATACACACTGTTGACACAATGTGTGCGTTTAAGTCAGTTCTATGGAAACGCTGCAACCGTATGAGGGGCTTTGGGCAAAACCGGGTATCAGACGGAAGATCTGAACTTGGGCCAAAAGTTGATTTTTTTTAATTTTCGAGTCAGTATAGAATGTGCTCTCATTTCCCAAGATTCTAGATTGGTTAGCATGTGAAATTGCATTATTTTCTTTCATTGAATGAATTCTATCTTACAAAATGTGGCTTATGGTGGAATCGGTGGTGTGTTTGTTACTGACCTCAGGTTACGACACAGGAGCTGTTGGAGAGCATAAAATTGTAGGATTCATGAACTCATGGGCTGAAAACTTTGCGTTTATTGGAAGGTCGGTTCAGACAAATTCTCTCGGTGCGAATGAGAATTGAAGGACGATGGCCTTTGGTGATGCTAAATGTCCGCAATCGGGAGTTTAACTTTCCAGATGTTATTCTGCCTCCTAATACTTGTGCATGGTGATAAGACAGTTGTAAAATTTGGGCCGATTAAACAATAGAGGTTTAATTCTATTCATGCTTTTTGGTGACATATTATTTTTTTTTTTCCAGAAAAGGCATTTTAGATCTGCAATAATCAGAGCGGGAAAGACAGTCAAACACAAAATCAAGCCCCATAGTTAATAACCTCAATTTGAAGCTGATGTTCCCAGACGTTGAACAAGAACAAATCAGTGTCTCCAAATGGACAATTTTACATAAGCAATCGGTGTTTGAAATTGGATACTTCAAAGTTAATCCTTTTTAATTTAATTTTTAATCAATTTTTTTATAGATATAAAAGTTAAAATTAAAATAATCTCTCAATTGTCACTTTGTTGATCAAAAAATTATAAGAGCCAACATTATCATTATTTCTTAAAATTTGATTTGATTTTGATTTTAATTTATGAAATTTGAAGCCAATAATTTAGGTTTTGAAGGTTGATTTTATTTTAATCCATCTAAAAATTATTGCTTTTCATATGAAATTTGAGAGACCAAAATCAAAATAAGATAAGCTTTAAAAACTCTGGATGTAAACCCTCCAATTCAGAGTTGAACAACTTGGTCTCACCCACAAAACCAGCCCCAAATAGCAATCTTCTCGAATTTAAATTTGGGCACATAAGTTTGACACAAGGATTTTTAAGCCAGCACGGAGGAATGCTTATACTATCATGTCCTGTCTGTCAATATTCTGTACATTATACTGTCACATTGCATCCTGAATTACCTATGGTATATTCATAACTACGTGAAGCACGGTCATGCCTTCCAAAATTTACATAAGATATGAACATGACCGAAAAGATAACCCTAACGTCAACTTTCAGAGACTGCTGAGTCTTTCCCTTAATAGTTCAACCAAAGCTCCTTTATTGAGTTTATAGTACCTTTTCACGTTGTGCTGCTTGGCTATTGCCCTTAGATCAATCAACTTCAAGTCCTTCAGCTTATCAGGCTGCAAAACTGAGGTTTGAGCATCTACTTTTCTTTTCTTTTGTGATTCAGAGAATTCGCTGTCATATGGAACAATAGCATGCTCTCCTGTTTCATGCTGGCTAGGCTGCACTTCTCTCTCAGTAGCTTTTCTAACGAGGGACTCATTTGAACAGCCCTCGTCAATGGGTTTTTGCTGCCCCCTGCATGTTACTATTGTGGATGCTCTGGGACGAAGTTTTATAGGACTGTCCCTTGGTTCTCCATCAGAAAATGCATCTAAATCAGATTTCCTTTTCCACTGGTTTTTTTGTTTGGAAGGCAAGCTCACATTGGACTTGCTAAGATTAGCATAAGTTTCAGATTTACGGCCACGTGCTTGTGATTTATCTTCATCTTTCAGCCGTGATCTACTGTATGGGATGATCCTGGTTTGCGGCTTCGCAAGAATAAGGCTTGCGTTATTCATGTTCCCTGCTTGTGGAGGATTTTTATCGTTTTCCACTTTCAAGGAGGATAATTCACCATCAGGAAGACACAATTCTTGAGGATAAACCACTTGTAGAGGTTTCATGTAGTCCAAGTCTTCATCCAGAACAATTAATTCTTTTGTGCAAACTCTTCCCTCAGATTCCGAAGCAAAATTACATAGCTTTCGATCTAAGTCACAATTTCCATCATTTCCACTATTGGATTGTTGTGAATCACTCGGTATGGAACCAAGACCCTCTTCCCTGCCCGTGATGCCATATGCAACTCTAGAAGCGTATGTGCTATCATATTCCACAATTGCATGTCTTTCCTGCGTAATCTATGAACAAATGCAATGACATAAAGTAAATATCTGTATATAACAGCTACCTATCCGATAAAGTAAATGGACTAAAAGAACAGCAAGAGAGCTTCTTGGACCTCAGCTTCTTTTGGAGCATTTTCCATGCCTTTGGAGAAAGATGAATTCGGTACTTGACCTGCGTCTTTGGCAACAAGTTGTCTTCTGTCTTCCTCGTTTCCAGAAACTTGCAAATTTGATGTGCCTGATAATTTCATTCCATCAGAATGGCCAGACCCAGATGCACACCTGATAGCCCTCAAGGCAGGAGTTCCTACACAATCTTTTGCAAGCAATTCCTTAAAAGAATAACCAGTAAAATGTCAGGATCCATGACAGGTATAACCCAAGCAGAGAAAATAAGCTTACGATAAGCATGGAGGTCTTGAGCATGCATCATTTAATGTAGAAATGGTTGGCAAGTTTAGACCCTCAGAGCAAGAGGGAAGTAAAGAATAAACGATACAAGGGGGCTTTAACTTGGGTACACTATTTTTGTCCTTGGATTTCAATACTGAAAATGGCTCATACAGTCAACTGCTAGTATACGGCTGTCAAATTCTAACTCTAGAGTCATTGTCAACTCAGGAATACTTCATTGTTTCTTCTCGGTGGTTGAGTCAATAGTGCTTTTTGAGGGATCTTTACTGACGTGCTTCATAAAAGCATTTGAGAGTTAAACAAAATGCAACTTGAGTCGTCATACTGTAACACCAAGTCAGACTAGAAAGCTTGCGGAAAATAGGCACTAAAGACTAACTCTAGGGCTAGGTTCAAATCTTTGTAATTCATTTAACAAAGCTGAACATGAAAGTTAAAAGCAAGCAGAGACAAGGAAAATCTAACTGTGCTGTATGTGGGTGCGATGTCCCATATTAGAAAAAATTAAACTTTGAAAAGAACATATGAATAGGGAGGACTCCTAATATTATAAAATTTTGGATATGAGATGTCAAATGCATTTGCACAACTCCTCCCAATGCCCAACAGAAGTCTAATGAAAATCTCTTTAGTACTTGAGATTTTGCATTCTCTGGTATAAAAGATATGACTGTGATAACCAGGGCACTAGAAAGACTGAGAAGATCCATAGGCACCCAAAACAAATAAACAAAGACCTCTCAACATATCTCAGTAGTTTTATCTGTTATGGTGCAACATAGCAGTTACTGCTCTTATAACATACTTACAGACTTTTTACTACAACAACCTGCTCATATTTTTGTTCAAACTCTCTGAAAGGCCAATTGGACTTTTTGCGTCGACTTGCCAGAAATTTGAATAGACTAGCCTCCATATGCGGAAAAGGGGGAAAAAAACTATTATTGTACATCATTAGTTTATATTAAACATCCCTATTGCCTAAACCAGAGTTGAGATACAAAGATGGCATATAGAAGGGAGAAGTAAACGAATTAAAGAAAAACGTTAATAACTGAGCCAGAAAATTGAAAGCCTCTCTGCGTCAAATGAAAATTTAAATAACTTGAGGAGAAAGAAATTCCAAAAGTCAACCTGGCCACATGCGTCTTGACAGAAATCTCTTCGTAAAGCCTTCACTATTTCATGAAGTGACTCGGCAGGTTTATTGTGTAATAGTGGCTGGGTCCCACTATCATCAGCATGATGATTTTTCAAAGTCCTTACAGAGACATCAAGCCAGTTGATTTTTTCACTCAAAGCATTAAAGCACAATTCAGGCCATTTTTCATGTTCAGCACAAGCTAACTCACTCTGAAGCGATAATAAATCTTTTCCAAGTTCCTCAAGTTCGGTGTCTTCCTTTCTTATTAAAATTCTCAAAACCTCAATACAACATCTCTCATTCAAGGCATCTTCCTCAATCGCATCTACAATGTTAAGAGAAAAATAAAAGGGCGTCAAATATAACCTCAACAAAGGACCAGACTTGCGCGGAGCAAGGGAGTAAGATTATACCATAACCACAACCAAAGTAAAAGTCACACTGCCATCCAGTATGCTCGGAGCAATTGCCGTCTTGAACGACTGAAACTGGCAAATAACATGAAGAACATTACGAAAAGGATACGTCACATGCAATCCAGCAAAAAAATATTTAATAAAGAACCATTGTGATATGGAAGTTGATCAAAGATATATAAGAAGAATCGGAAACCTTGATCATACGATGAACTCCAAAGATCCCAAGCCATGAACTGCAACTATCCTGAAATGAAAATGTCAAAGATAAAGTATGATCCATATACAGCTTACTTTATGGAACGAAATGCCAAGGAAGGTGCCAACAGAGAAGCCAGAGAAATCTAACTAGTTGTTTACAACAAGTGCCAACATTTGTATGATTTGTACGAAACTTCAAACCCAAAAAAAAAAAAAAACAAACAAACGGGAAAAGATATGCAAGTAGGATAACAAAATAGAACCAATAAATTTAGAAAAATTCAAAATCTCTTGAGAATAAAGTGTAACATAGGGATATCTCCAGCACGCATCCCGCGTCAAGCCCCACGCCAATGAAGGACAGAGTGATGAGTAGTAGTGAAGAACGCAGGATACTGAAAGCAACGAGACAATGCGAAAGTGGAAACCCAGTTTAAACAAAAAAAAGAAAAAATATCTTGAAGAAAAAGTATCCTTCTCAGGAATACAAGAACAAGGCTTCCCACAGGCTTTAGACATTGTCGACGAAGCTCAGACCAAAAAGTGAGGAAATGGGTAATGGGTGATGGGGCGAGTAGCTTTCCGAGCAATCAAACAGTACCTCAATGCAATAAAAGATGGAAGACTACGGAAATATTGACAGCTTGAGCTTCTCGAGCCACCCAAGATGCGGCGGAGATGCGGAATGCGAAGACAAAATGGGTGTCTAGGGTTTCGGGTATCCCAAAAGTCAGAGCCAAAGGAGAAAAAGGAGGCTTTTTCAGAGCGAACAAGGAAAGAAGCGAAGAGAAGCTCTGCTATGTGCGTATTAACAGTAAAAAAGCAGAGACTCAAAGCGACAAACCTGCCTCTAAGGGCAAGGAGGACGCGGTGAGCTACAAAGAGGCGGTTTGAGAAGGGGACCACAAGGGAATTTTAATAAAAGATGAAGTGGGCCCGTTCATGGCAGTTGTTCTGTCGGGTCATGAGCCCTGGTTGACTGCGCGGGAACGTAGCAGGACTTTCGACCCCCTGGATTCGTGAAGATGTTCTTTTAGGACTCATTTGTGGATATCAATGCTCTGTGCTTATGTGCTCCAGTGAGTTTTGCTGGATAACGAAAGTTTAGATCTTCAAATTTTTTTCCTACGCCATGTTGAGAACTGAGCCCTTCACTCTCAACCCTTGCTCACACTCTGCTAGGGGCACCCTGTTTCTCTCAAAGAGCCTCGTAATTTCTAGTCTTCTTTATAGGCGAAGATGATTGTTCTGACTAGTATCTAAAAAGACGAAATAATCCTCCTCTGATCCTAATTAAAGTTAATTTTGATCCTTAATATGGGATTTATTTTTATATTTACTATTTTTTTTAAATTATCTCTATTAAATAATTAAATATCAGAATAATATTTATTATTGATTAATAATACACCTATATATTTTTTTGGGGGTCAAGGTGAGCTGTTCGTATTATGAATAATATGATTCATTGTATACATTTTAATATTTTATGGTCTTGATTCCTACTTTATATAAAATTAAAATCTAAGACGAGGTAAAAAGATCCAAGATGAGTATATAATTTTAAGTGTTAAAATAATACGTTTTTACATATTTTATAGTCTGGGTTAATTTAAATTATGATTAAAAAAATCTCTTAATTATACGGCACATCACACCTCTTCTTAAAAAGAGGTCAAGCGTTCTACTACAAGAATTAGCATGGGTGCATGCGTTTGAAGTGTGGGTGTGTAGCAGAGTTGAAGTTAAAAAAAAAAAAAAAAGCCTCCTAACTGAGAATATTTTGAAAAACATATGTCATATTTATTATTATTATCTGACTTCATTAATTTTTTTAATTTAATTAAAATAGTTAAATAGGTTTGATGTTAAATATCAGAGGAGTAAAAGTTACTTCGTATTTAAGGCTTGAATCTCAATCAAATCCAAGATGATGTCAATTATGCAAAATTATTGTTTCTAATTATTTTAAATCCAACACAAGATTTTCCATTTAAATGTAGGATTTATCTCTGTTGGGTAAATTGGTACTTACAATTGCATACAAATTAGTTATTTAATATTTAAATTTGCAATAATGTGTACTTTAAGTTGTTAAAAAAAATTTTAGAATTTTCAGGCTAAAAAAATCAAATCCAGCAACTAGCTTGTGATTATTCATTACTCTATTATTTTATTATTCTTCTCCCCAAATCGTCCGTACTGTTTTGGACGTTTGGCCAGTGCAAGGAGATCAACCCTATAATCCGTATCATCACACAAATATACCGTAGTGTTATTATTATTAGCTAATTAATACACTAATGTCCCGTGATTTATTTGGTCAAATGGTCTATGATTAACATCATTGAAATTGATCGACATGTCAATTATCAATCTAATTACAGGTTTCTTGGCCTCATCAACTCATTGCTGGTAAAGACTTTCCCGTTACACAACGCGTTTATAATATTACCCTGCTCTCAAGTCACGAGTTGCATCTCACTGAGGTGGCAATTTGCTAACCGGGAGAATTTGGTGCAGACGTCACTGCCACTGTATAATGCCGCACTTAATTTCAAATTATTCTCAGTAAATTATGAATTTCACAGCAATATAAAACATGAAATTGAAATTAGACTTTGATGATAAATGATTAGAGCAGATATTCAAACGTTGTTTTGTAGCATTGTGAGGAACTGGTTCATTCACCCCTTCTTGTTATCAACTAACAAGTATTTTAGTATACGCTGGAAGTGGAAGCACAGAGGAGGAGAACATATGGATGTAATTTTATTTGGGTTAAGATGCAATTTTAATCTCAGCCCTATTTTTCAAGTATAATTTTGTTTCTGATTCTTTTAGTTGTGTAATTTTGACCCTAATCACCTAAAGATCGGAAGCAAAATTGTACCCGAGAAAAAAAAGATCAGGGGCTGATCAGGGGCAAAATTACACCACTAAAAGATTAGGAGTAAAGTTGTACTTGAAAAATAAAATCAAGGTCAAAATTATACCTTAACTCATTTTATTTTTCCGGGAGAGTTAGGAGGAATGGCTTTACAGCCCTAAATCCCTTTTCTTTGTTTATTTTTGGTAGCCAGAGACTTCTTCCCTAGTGGGGGGCGTTACCATTTATGGACAATTTGATTTGCCTGAGCACACAGCCCAGAAGAATTCTCAGAGCAGAAATTTCTTTGGGCCAGAAAAGTAGCCATTCTAACTTCAGAGCCTTATTCAGGAATATTTCTTTTTCATTCTTAGTAATTTTGCCTTCTTTTTTCAAAGCAAATCACCTAATATTCAAAGTCTCTTGAATTCTGATTAATTCAAGTTGGAGTCGGGTTGTGTCTCAATTAGGTTCATTCTTCTTAAAATTGTTTTCTGCAGTAATACAGATTTAAAGATAAGACTTCATATATAAACAACATAATCCTTTAATTTATATTGAGAATATCAATAAAAAGATAAGATAATTTGATAGACATAAACTAATTTCAAATTAGTATTTCACTTTATAGAAAATAAATAAATATGCCCTGTGAAAGATAATGGAAGGGTGACCATGTTAGTAGTGTATACATCTTGCAAATTCAAGCTAATAACGAATAGGAGTATTCGGTGGCAGCGGAAAATTGTCGGTCAGCCACTCTCGCGACGACTGGCGCGCGGGAAGCGAAGTTGGTGCGAACATGTAATGAAACGAAAGGTGGCAGACTTTGTCGTTTTATGGACCACGTGTCTCCTTCCCACCTGCCTTGCCTGGCGATAAGTCACCCTTTATGGTATCGCTAAAACTTAATCCCTTTCGTTAGTCATGACAATTCTCCTGAAGGAAGAGATTGGGTGGACTAAGGACCACAGCGACAATGTGGGAGACACGCCCTCAGATGACAGATCCTCTGATTTAATTGTCAACGACCCCACTCTCTCGTCTCTCCCATAACGAAGACGAAGACACACTAGAGTTCAATATTTTACTCTCTGATCTGGTCTATTTAATTCCTTAACATCAACAAGTGGCGTTCATGATAGCCAAATGAGATTATCGGAACCTGGACCTTTGTTCCCATGTCCACACGGGACAAAAGTTCCAAGGAGCACACATGCTCCTTGCTACATGAGATCTGTAGAACACTCCAAAAGCAAAAAATAACGCCGCAGTTAAAGGGGGGCAGAGAGGGGGGAAAAGGTGGTAAATAAATATTTCTAAATAAGTAAAAACGTTTTCGATTGCTAAAAGTTCAAATGACAGCGTCCTGTGCAAAGCCAGGCACGCACCGCAGGCACAGCCAGGATCGGGAATATGTCGTTCAAGAAAGAAGCCTTCTTCATCTGTTCTCTGGTGATTCTTTGGTACTCCTCAAATATTGGAGTCATCCTCCTGAACAAGTACTTGCTTTCCAATTATGGTTTCAAATTCCCCATCTTCCTCACGATGTGCCACATGACTGCCTGTGCCGCTCTTAGCTACATTTCCATTGTTTTCCTCAAGATTGTGCCTCATCAGACCATCAAATCAAGGTCCCAGTTCATCAAGATTGCAACTTTGAGCGTTGTGTTCTGTGCATCGGTGGTCGGTGGCAACGTCTCCCTCAGGTACCTCGCGGTTTCGTTCAATCAAGCTGTGGGTGCCACCACCCCTTTTTTCACGGCGTTGTTCGCTTATTTGGTGACCCTTAAGCGCGAGGCTTGGGTCACTTATGCTGCTCTTGTGCCCGTTGTTGCTGGGGTTGTGATTGCTAGCGGGGTATGTTCATTTTGTTTGCAGGATCTTGTGTTGGTTACTCGTGAGGATTTCTCTCCTTGATAATGCTCATTTTGTTCATCCATCCCCATCTTATCATGCCGGCATAATTTCTTGTTTTAGTTCTGGATAGCATTGCAAGCCTGCGTTGTCTTTATAAGTGCTCCTCCAGATCTGGAAATCTGTTGCAAGTTAGTTGCTGGTCATACCGGATCTGGTATTGTGATCAATTTAGCTGATCTATAGTTGTTAGGAATTTAAGTAATCTATATGTGGTGATAAACATGTATCGAAATTCCCCACCATGATTGTAGTTCTCATCTTCCTTACTCATATAATTTATGGAAATAAATATGAAACGGCTCTAAAAATTTTGCATGGAAAAGGAAAACGTAAGGGGAGCTGGAGGCCAAAACATAACTTGTTATTTATTGCAATCTGAATCATTCTTCTTTACGAACGTGTCTTAGAAAGCTAATTCTTTATTCTTGTTAGTCATCTCGCCCTGGAGCTGGATTTACATGATTAATAATGTATATTTCTGTCCCATTTGCCCTGTCTTCTGAGGGGTTATAACATTTTCTTGTTGGGGCAGGGTGAACCGGGCTTTCACTTGTTTGGATTCATTATGTGCATAAGTGCTACCGCTGCAAGAGCCTTCAAGTCTGTCCTTCAGGGCATCTTACTTTCTTCTGAAGGGTAAACAATCTATGCCACACCTACGATGATTTGTATGATCCTTTGTTTTTAAAAAAAAAAAAAAAAAAAATTCCCATCTAAAGTTTGAGATATCAACCCCTCACCTTTCTATTATACACATTTTACATATTCGTTTTTAGAACTTGTTCATTAATGGAGCTTTCTTTACAAGTTCATTTCCTTATTTGATATTCTTAAATGATAAAGCTATTTTAGTTGATCAGTTAGAAAGGTCTTTTTTTTTAAAAAAATTCGGTGACAAAACTCCGAGGACTGAAAATGGGTGGGGGGATGTGAATGGGGGTTCAAGAGTGGAGAATTTACTAATTAATCTGCCTTATCTGCTTTAATGGGAAGTCTTGGTTTTTCATCTCTTTCTAGGTACTTGGTTTGTGTGCCCTGTTGTAACTTGAAAGTTAGGTTGTTGAATGCCTGGTCAGGCCCAATGAAATGAAGGAGGTAAAAATGAGACAATGTAACCTCTTTCTTCAAGTTCATTCTTTGAGTTGTGAGAAAATCTTCTGGAAACTGCAATCTTATAGACCAGAAACCATGATGAAAATGATAATGCTGCAAAATGGAGCTTTCGCTGCTTCCTTCTCATGTATATATGATTGAATCCAACCTCTTTCAACAGTTTTAGGTTCTTGTCCTGGCCACTTAGCTTAGCAGACCAAATTCAAATACTCCCTTTCTGGTGGCAATAAATTTCTCATAATGTTAACTTCAATTTCAAACAAACAGGGAGAAGTTGAACTCGATGAATTTGCTCCTGTATATGTCTCCAATGGCTGTCGTGGTTTTGGTTCCTGCAGTGCTTATTATGGAGCCCAATGTCATAGACGTCACAACAACTCTTGGAAGGGAGAAAAAATCTATGTGGATTCTTCTTTTGCTTAACTCAGTGACCGCTTATGTAGCGAACTTATCAAACTTCTTGGTGACTAAGCATACAAGTGCTCTTACCCTTCAGGTTGTTCCCTATACAAATCAATTAGCTAAAAGCTAATTTTTTACTAACGAATTCAAATTTTGATCACTTCTGGATATTAAATAATATTTTTCTTTTATGCTTGAAATTTAATTCAAAACTCAGATCATGATCAGTTTGCTCTGTAGTATTTTGTGAAATAGAAGTTTAAGTGCTTTTTGTTTCTTCAAGCAAACAGACCGCTTAGGCACCACTTTAACATAATTGTTAATTGTGGCTCCTCTGAGCCCTTTTTACTTTTAATTAATTGACTGTGAGAGTTTCATCCTTCTGTAATACTAGCAGTAATACTGTAAGAATATAAATCGAATCCTCTACACCAGGCATTTATTTTTTGAGAGTAGTGATACTCGCTAATTACTCACGGACCAACAAAGAAAGAAATTGTTGCTTTGATAATTAATCACCCTAATTTTCCTCTCAAATGTTGTGACTTAGGTGTTGGGGAATGCAAAGGGTGCTGTGGCTGTTGTGATCTCAATCCTTATATTTAGAAATCCTGTGACTGTTGTGGGCATGGCGGGCTACACAATTACAGTATTGGGGGTGGCAGCATACGGAGAAACAAAGAGAAGGTTTAGATGAACAACTTGTCTTTCTGTCTAAACGTTCTCCTATCTATTTTTGTAATTTGATTTGTCCTAGTTTTTCCCACGTGAACATGATTCTTGGTAATTTGACCATGGCCAGGTTGGGGCGGGTAAAGTAATTTTTTGTCATGCTTGTTGCATGTATGCGGAAATATTTTTGTATCACAGTTAGATTTTGCCGAGCAGATTCTGCTATTCTTCGATTACAGGCGAAAATAGCTTTTTGCATTTGGGCAAGTATACTGTGGGGTGGGAAAGTGGAAAAGTGGCACCTTGTGAAAGTTCACACCGTAAAAATCCTTATATTAATTCGTAAATTCATATTTTTAACATTGGATGTCACGCCCCAGTCTGATCACAACGCACAAGCACGAAATTCTAGGGGGAGCTCCCAAGACGCAAAATTGTCATGATTGTTGAGGCGCTTCAATCTTCTGTCTTTCACATATCTTTGTGGGCTAATGGATGCTGAGAACATGCAGAGAAAACAACCGTGGCGAAGCAAGCTTCATAACAATACAATACTCGTAATGCTGCCACGTGGAGGAAAATGGATCGACATTACTAGCACTATAGAATACTGACAGCAAAGCGCCCCGGGCATTTAACACGGAGCAATGAAATACGGTTTTCCTTAAAGTCAAACAAAAAGTATGAGTTAGCAATTAGCCGTATGAGTCATCCAAAGTCCAGCTTTATTTTTTCTTTTTTTTTTTTTTGGGGGGGGGGGGGGGGAGAACGTAAGCAAAATAGCCCTCCGACCCACTTGCCCAGGGAACGGAATACGCCATTGATGGGTTCAAGCCATGTCAGGACCAGAAGGCAATGCGTCGTAGCCATCGTGTTGTTTTGGAGCATCTTTTTCAACAGGAATGCACTTCAGGATAGCCCCCATGGGCAAGCTTACTGCTCCAATTAACACACTCAGTACCCATAGTTGCCAGTTCAGAGGCACAGTGCTGGCAAATGTTCCCAAGAACTCAACAATGACCACTTGAAATGCCGCTGTGGAAAATATCACAGCTAAAAATATCCAACTGTCAAACATGCCTCTCAATATGTTTATCTTTTCTATGTCTCGGCTGTTGACCTCATTGAAAAGCTGATAGAACAAGCAGAGAGACAATTAGATAACGGCTAAGTGGACCTGAGGAAGGACAATTCAATAGATCAATCATATGCTGTACCTGGCAAAAGACAAAGGAGTTGAATATTAACGTGTTTAGGACACTAGTTGCATCCGCGCCATTGAGTCTCAGAAGGTTCTTCCCATCAAAATTAAGAATGCCAAGGACAATTAGTTGATATATACTTTGACCGATGATATTTCTCCACATGGCTTTGGTAATAAAGCTTGCTCCTCTACCGACAGGAGGCCTTTTCATGAGTCCATCATTAGGAGGTTCTGTGGCCAGGGCCAATGCCCCCAGAGTGTCCATAATCAAGTTGACCCAGAGCAATTGTACGGCTGTTAGAGGAGCAGATCCTGAAAACAAACGAGAAAACTATTATTCGTGTTCCTCAAAAGTTTCAGTGCAATAAATGGGGCGAAAAACATTCAGAAACCAACAGACCAGTGAAGCATGCAGAAACGAAGTTGATCACAAGAGCGACGACGTTGACTGTTAACTGAAATTGAACAAATTTCTGAATATTTATGTATACTGCTCGTCCCCATCTGGCCACGTTGACAATAGTTGAGAAGTTATCATCCATTATAATGACATCAGCATTTTCTTTAGCAACCTGTGAATGGCATAATTCCAAAAGAAAACATAATATCAGAGTATTGATGATTATATTGACGATACAGGCACAAATAAAATGGTACGTGATACGTAGTTCTATAACCAATCAGGTTATTTATTCAAATACACTATGAAGGACCAACAATTGGGTTGCCAATACCAACAGCCATACAGTGCAATCTGGTATAAAGATTTTAAAGGTTTGCAGAGTTAAAAAGGTAATAATGTCCTTCAAAAGGCCTAATGTATGTTTTTCCAGGGGAAAGCGCAACTTATACTCTCTGTAGCTGGGGTAAAGCTAAAACGGAACCCATAATAGGCAGTACATTCTAATGCCTGGAGGATATCAACTGTGAATTTGTGACTTTAAGGAAGTATAGGAGATACAATACCTCAGTCCCAGCAATGCCCATGGCAAGTCCAATGTCCGACTCATGTAGTGCAGGAGCATCATTGGTTCCGTCGCCTGTAACAGCAACAACCTCACCAAACATATTCCGCAAATTTGTAACTAAGGTATGTTTGTCAAGCGGTAAGGATCGTGCCATTACCTGTGTCCACATTAAGCAAATAAGAAGACAGGCATTTTCCCCAAAAAAAGAGTTGAAAGTCAAAATTTGCAATGAAAATAGAACCTGAATATTTGGTACGATCTCCCTCATTCGCTCAGGAGTCAGGTTTCGAAATTCTGGTCCTTCAATGGCAACACCGCCTTCTGTCAGTATACCACATTCTTTAGCTATAGCCCTAGCTGTATGTATATTGTCACCAGTGACCATACGAACTGTTATTCCAGCTGCTAAACAAGTTTGGACAGCTTCTTTAACCCCAGGGCGCACGGGATCCTTGATTCCTACAACGGCTATCAGTGTATAGCCATTATCAGGGATACTAGCCTCTCCTTGGTTATCATTTATATCTTTGACAGCCAAACAAAGAGTTCTTAAAGCTTCAGATGCAAAACCATTTATCACATCAGAGACATTCTTTGCACGATCTTCAGGAAGATCAACTGTATTTCCATTATAATCAATAATTTTGTCACATGTTCTTAAAATTATTTCTGATGCACCTTTACAGAAAGCTCGTACCCGTCCATCAGGAAGACGCACAAGGACAGACATCTTCTTCCGGACTGAATTGAACGGTTCAATCTTAACAATCTTGTACTCATTGCGCTGAGCATCAATATCACCTTCCAAAAGCAACCCAAATTCCACTAAAGCAGATTCTGTTGGTGTTCCCAATATCGTGTTCTTTCCATCCTTATCTTTAACTACTTCAGCAGAAGTATTTAGAAATATAGCTTGGCAAAGGATGCTCAGAGCTTCTTCAGATATTTCCGTTTTCAATTTGTCTCCGCTCCCTTTACCTTTCATTTCCATGGATTTTTCACATGTCCATATCTTATCAACCACCATATGATTAGTAGTCAGCGTCCCTGTCTTGTCTGTGCAAATGCAACTGGATGAACCCATTGTCTCACAGGCTGCAAGATGCCTCACAAGTGCCCTGTCATTCATTAATTTTTTCATTGCAAAAGCAAGGCTGAGTGTTACAGCCAACGGTAATCCTTCAGGGACTGCAACAACTATTATGGTGACAGCAATAGCAAAGTAGTCCAGCATCTTCATTGCATCATTCGAAGACCAATTAGTAAACTCACCGTGCTGTGCTTTTTCCACCAAAAACCTTATTATCAACACCAGAAATGTTACTACAGCAAAAGCCAGACCAATCTTACCAATAATCGTAGCAACTCCATTCAGTTTCACTTGCAATGGGGTCTCATCCTCTCCACCCTCGTTTAAGGTTTCCATCAACTTTCCCCATTCCGTCCTCATACCAACAGTTGTCACTAACATCTTCCCTTGACCATCTTGCACTTTTGTTCCTGAAAGAAGGAAAGGTTTTTCTTCATTTACGTTTACTGGTTCGCTCTCACCTGACAAACTCGACTCATCGATCAGCAAGTTGTATCCCCATATGAAAATCCCATCAGCTGGAACTTGATCCCCAGTTGACAAATGGACAATATCTCCTACTACCAGATCATAGATTGATATCTTCTCCCTTTTCCCATCCCTGGTGACCTGAACAAATATCTTTTTCTTCTCCCTGTCCAAATCCCTGAACTGCAGCGATTGCTTGTAGTCGCTGACAGCAGTAACAATGACGACTAAGAACACACTAAGTATGATTCCCAGACCATCATACACACCCTTCGGCCACCCTTCAGTGGCAATCCCTACACCTATAGATACTAAAGCACAAACCATAAGAATGATTAGCGTTAAGTCATGCAATGCTTCCCACACAAACATCAGGAAGGTTCTAGTAGGTTTCTCTGTATAACGGTTGAACCCATAAATCTGTTGCCTGGTATTTATACTGTTTTTACTGACACCTTTATCCATGGAGGAGACAGATAATCTTGATGCGACCCCTTCAACTCCTCCAATCATTCTCAATTTCTTGTAATCATGGCTACGAACAATGGAGGCAATGTCATCTGGATTAATACCAAAACCAGCTTCTCTTGCCTCATCTGATAGACTGTAATCAACGCGACCTCCAGCTGCACAAGCCATATATGAAAATAATTAGTTTTCAAAAAATTGTGACTGTATGAAGTGCGTAACTCGAGAATAGAGCAAAATACCATCAATAAACTGCAATGCCGCCTTTTGAACATAAAGAGCAATCCGAATCGTTTCCTGATGCAGCAAATAGAGATCGTACAGTAAAAAATGTAGTGATAATATCGACATGAAATTTTGTAAAGGACAATTAACGGTCATTCCAACATCAAGTGCTTAAGGAGGGTCAAAACTCAAAGCACAGACCATGTCGTTCGAACGTACATAATTACAGCACTAATAATATCCTTAATTAAGCCAAAGTAAATGAGCCTCATCCTGTCTAATGCCATTACATAACTTCCCTGTCGAAAGTCATAATTAAAAAATTTGGCTGAAAGCTTTTTAGGATCAAATATATTTCCTAAAAGCTTCACAGGTTCTTGAATAAAAAATTTGGAGCATGTGTTGAGTTTATTATCAAAGGGAATGTTTGGTAGTCGTAATGGGGGGAAAACAGCATTCCTTTTCTATTAAACACAGAAAAAGAAAGATAAATAATATTCATTATGCTTTCGCTTTTATATAATTTTTTACTTCTTTTCAATTTATTGAATACAGTACGTATAGCAAAAATTAGCTCTATCTAATGGCCCAAAAGAAACGTTGTCCAGGCAGCGGGAATATCTTCACGGTGAAGGATCTCCATCTACTGCCCCACCGCCCAACCCTCACATGAATTCTAGAGGATCTCATTTGTCAAACTTGTACCTATAATGGAACTCACATATTCAATGATGACGTGCCACTGTCTGATTCACAACCCAACAAGAGGCGTCTAGGCTGCGTTCAAGTCATCGCGAAAGCTGGATGCTTTGCTTTGGGGGCTCTACCAATGTGGCAGTGGCCCAGTTTTCTGTTTTCTTTCTTTCCTTGTTTGCTCAAGCTTATAGCCTGCGCTGAAGGGAGAACATTATTCATGGCGGTCTGAAGGGACTTATTTGCATTAAAGGCCAAAAACATTCAGAAACTGCTTTGGAGAACCTAAAGACCAAACTGCAATTAAGTTTGGTGTGACATGACAAGAATCCCCCCTTGTTTGTACACCAGATTTCAACAAGTTGTAATTTAATAGTAACATTATCATCATACACAAACTTAATTTCAATTTGAACCTCTTCTGCATAGCAATTTCAAAAATGTTTTTAAACCTTTAATGCAAGTAAATTCAGGGCCTTGAATGATATTCTCCCAAAAAAGAAAGCTGGACGTTTGCATAGACAAGGGTGGTCGCTCTCCCACTGGTATCAGTGCTAGTCTGATAGAACTGAATTGAAGGATAAGTGTAAGTCAGTCCTTGGATGAAATGTGTGCTTTCTTATAATTTTTATCCAACGGCTTAGGATGTCCAACCCTCCACCTCTCTACATCATCGTCCTAAATACTATCCATATACATACCACTCTGATGTAAAATAGAAAGGGAAAATCACAAAAAAAGAAACCGTTGAACTAGAAAAATTGCAAATAAGGAGCTATGACAATATTAGTATGGGTTTTGACAAGAATAGTGTGGATTCTGACAATCATTTTTGTGAACAGGTTCCTGTGTAATTTTTCTATTTCGATGGTTTTTTTGTAATTTTCCAAATAGAAATGGACCCACAGCCCACTATCTGATAAGACCAATACACATTGTTGTTTTCACAATGAAATCGTGCGAAACAAAAAAAAGAAAATAGTAAACTCCGGAAACAAACAGGATATACCGGTCTTCCAAAAAAAAGTCAACAAAGAGGAGTAAGTGCGCAAACGTGACAACTGCCGCGCGTCACCATACAGATCTATCTTTTGGAAAATACTCATTCAATTTGGAGGCAAGTGACCGAAATTTCGCGGAAGGTTCGTCCGGTGTCACTATTGGACCAAAATAGTTGGCTTTTCTATATTACGTATTTTACTTTCTTTTGCCAACAATTACTTGTTTTAATTTAGACCCATGGCCCGTCGTTTTAGTGGGAATTAAAAAATACAACCCCATACGGACAGCAAATTCATATAAACCGATAAAAAAGACTAAAACTGGCAGGATATCAAATATGATAATAATTTATGGCATCAAATATTAATATAATCAATACCAATCAAGGATCATATATATATATATATATATATCATAATAATATATTTTAGTATAGGAAGCCACATTGTATCATGTAAAAAGATATATATACATTATATATATATATAATATGAAATAAACTCCCAAATTATGGACAATAAAATTAATCCTAAATTTCATACAAATATGCAACTTCTACTCAATATTTCAGTAAATTTCATATCAGTCAACAATCAAATTAAGTGCTGACAACGAACCAGCATCTGATGCAAGGGCCAAATTTAAGTATAAATTTTTATATTTTTGTTTATAATTTTTTTAATGAGCTTAAAACAGGAATAAAATATTTTTTACACCAAAGATATAATACACTTAAGTGATACAACAAATTCTCACAAAGCATACTAAAAAAACAAATTCAAAATAGTTTACCTTTCTTTAACGGGAGTCATGAATTTCACAATATAGTGCCAATAAAATGAGCAGATCGGGAAAAATATGCAGGAAAAGTTAAACTGCTTTGCACATTAGGGGAAAAAGGAGAGTTACGCATTAACTAACAGTAATATTATTAAATACTTTTTTTATTACGCTGTGGGATGTTATACACCGTTAAAAAAACTTGTCCGTTAAGTTCTTTTGACAGGCCCGAGTTGACCATCCCAATTTTTCTCTCTGTTTTTTTTTCTGGCGCCATCGATCATCCCAATTAAATAAGTATGAAATTAGAAATTTAATTTCAAAAGTATTTTCAAACAAATGCGAAGAAAATTACTAAAAAAGAAATTATTTACTTTTTATCAACAAAGTCAGTCGCGCTGGAGCGCACCCGCCTCAAAGTCACGTTACCAATACCATTACTGCAATGACCACCGGAGAAGAGGGGCAACGACTTTTGATTCCCTCAAAGGTCACATAAGAAGATAGGATCGGACGCAAAAATCAATTTGGCCGTGGAATGTCCGTCATTCGTTTTTGGCACTTGCCAGAATTTAATCACTTTATCTTCACGAAATCAAAAACTTCTTCCGTTTCTCACTAACAGGGGATCAAATAACCCCCTTGTCAAGGAAACTCCAGCTCCGGTTGGCCAAAAATATTATTAACAAAAGAAACGAGGAAAACTCTCGCTCTTAACTTGAGGGGATTTATAAGAAATTAGTTGAGTTCATGATCTCTTATTTCCTTATTTAAAAACAAAAATAGTCTTAGTTTTCTTCTTCCTCCTTTTTCAAGCCACCGCAATGAAAAGATTTTCTCTACAGTGGATTTTGCTTTTCCCTAAAAAAGCAGAAAGTATAAGCGGTGCATCATTATTAGTTACTTTCATTATTTTTGTCCTCTTTTGGAGACTTTCTCCTAAAGACCTAAAGCCTCCTCGCAATCCAATGGCCCCCTCCCCCGGGGCCCAGACTCTTAAAAACTATCATCATAAATCTTAAACAAGTGTATATATCGACAAACAAAACAAGAGTAAACGGTATAAATCAGGCAAATGGATTGAAAACCTGGATTTTCTGCTTCATCCTCTCGGCTTCAGAACGTTTGTCAAGATCGGCGACCATGCGGAACCTTCTGCGAGGATTCTTGACCAACCTGACGGCGGATCTCCATCTCCTCATGGCTTCGGTGGATGGATTCTTGGGCTCCAATTCAAAATCCTTCAAAAAACTCTCCATTGTCGCCGGAATAAGAGATGCACAGGTTCTACAACAGACTCCCCTCCGTTCTATCGCTCAGAGCTCTCTAAAAGAGTAGCGCTGCGGAGGAGGCAGCGGATTTTTCATCAGCGGAGCGAATAAATGTGAGTGCCTAGTGCTCACCGCAAGTGGGTTTAATACTTCGACAATAAAAATTCATAAAAGACATGATGAAACCATTAAAATAAAAATAAAAACCAAAAACAGTAACCTATGTTTTCTCTTTTCGTTAAAAGAAAAAGGTTATAAATTACCCACTAACTCATGATTTTATAAGTTGTTTTTTATCTTATTTAAATAATTTCTAACATATTTTATACACATTTAAAAATCTTAAAATACATTAGCTTCTTATTAAAGTATAATAATTTTTTAATTTTACTCTTATTTAATATTCATTTTGTTCTAAATATAAAACTCATTTTATAGTGTAGATCTATTTTAGGACTGGAGGAGTTCTGTAAACTTTTAAAAAAAAAACTATCTACATTATAATAAAAGAATAATCAAATAGTATATTTGTGTTAAAATTTAATTAAATGACTTATCTAGTTATAAATAAAAAAAATTTCTTTCTCTACTTTATAAAAGTATAAGCAAATTTTTATCAATTAAACATTCTCACTAACAAAATAGTAACCTATATTTAGTAGGAGAGAAGCGGAGGAGGGGAACAGGAAAATTTTAATGTTCTATTTAAAAATTAAAAAATGTGGAGTTATAAATTTTTAATAAAAAAGATTAATTAAATTTATTAAATTTTTTCCTCTCATTCCTTGCGCCAAACAGAGTGCAGGTTAGCAGCCTCCAAGTCCAGCTCAGGGGAGACATCGATGGGGCCCGGGCTTTGTACTCCGTGTACGCATATCCAAATGGGTCAGTGAATTAAAAATGGGCTACTTTACACACGGGGAGCTGTTACTTACCTTTTTTTAATGTTTAAAAAATGGTAACATAAATAGATAAATAGATAGGGAGGGAAAAATGTAAGAAAATTGTCTCTCACTTTTTAATGCTGCCCTAAAAACCTATCAGCAGTCCCTGACTAAAAAAGTGTTTGGATAATGACCCAAACAATAGTTTAAGAAAAAATCACCGAAACACCATTAAAAAAAAACCAAAACTATGTTTTTGGATCAAACTATGGCTTTGGCAGAAACAAAGAAATTTTTACTTTTGGAGGAAAAGAGAGAGTGTGGGAGCTTATAGGATATATGCCTTGTTGTTTTTTTTTACCCAGGCGGATATATCCTTCCCAATTATTCATCCCTTTCTCATTGTTTCAAACATAGTACGAGAGAGAGCCTGAGAGTAGATCTCAATAATAATATGACTTTAACAACCCCTTAATTATTTTTTTATAAACATATTTAATCTTATATCTTATAAATATATATACACATATTAATTATTTATAATTATATTATCTTATGTATTATTAATTATGTTGATAAAAAATATATTATTAACAATTTTATTCCTTTAATTAAAATATATCATAAAATCTATTTCTTATGTAATTATCATATTAACTTATACTTTTTTTAGTAATTTATAAATTAAAAAGTGTTTCTGATACAACAACTATCCAAACACTCTCACTTCTTATAATCATTTTTTCATAAAATCTAATCTCTTCAAAATATATTCTTCGGAAGCTATTTTCAAACCATAATTTGGTTTCCCGTCAAATCAATTTGAGCTTTTAACCCCATGTCAGCAGAATAGCCGTGGAAAGGACAAAAAAGAGTGGTTGTAAAATTGTCTGTGTATTTGCAGGGCCGGTTGATTTTTCTGATTTTTAATATTTTTTGCTTTAGAATCTTACTTTTAATTACATTTTTAAGATCTTTTTAGATATCTGAGCCCTTTGTTTTTTTGTAGCGGGTCAACTAGGTAGTCTTCGCACTTCCGGCACAATAGCATCTTGTCACCTTTCTTTTCTCTAGCGGTAACGTTCTTTGCATGCGCAGTGCCTGAGGTGCAATTGTAAATTAGCTTGTGATCTTTGATCTTTAAAAAAAAAAAAAATCAGTTGTGATGTTCTCTTGTGTTTTATAGGCCTTAATTTTTGCTTATTGTTGTTTTTGCTTTAAGTAGATTGGATTTAGTTGCAATGTAGTGTTTATATTGTGATGTAATAGAGGCGTAATTTCACTAATCCGTGTATATCACATCATATTATTTATATCTAATAAATTGTCTTATCATCAATATATATATATTTATATATAGAGGGGGGAGTGGTTATTGAACTTCAGCGTGTTTTTCATGATTCGGACACGCATAAATATATATATATATATAATATATTTGCAATTTTAGAAGTTTGTACAGATGACTGAAGATTTTAGTCACAACTGAATATAAAATCTTTTCATGCGCCCAACATTATTCTATTGATTGGTGGACATTGCACAGATACCATATTTGACTTTTTT